TTACGTGTGGTGACACATGACGATGCGTGGTGACACATGACGACGCGTGGTGACACGTGGCCTTAGGGTGCACATAGCCTGGCACAAGCGTCGTGGTGACATCACCGCCACTTAGTGGTGAATGGCGGTTGTTGTTGTTGCCCCCCCTTGTGGGAGACCGGTAGTGTAGTAGTGGTTAGCGCGCTGCGCTATGAACCCAGTTACCCGAGTTCGATTCCTGCTCACGGCCAACACCGGTGACGATTGTCTGAACCGGTCATGGGCCTCCCCTAGGTCGACTCGGCCTCAAACGAGTGCCTGGTGCGGTGTGTAAAAACATCGCCACTTGGAAGACAAAGGCGGTCGGGCCTGGTGCTGGCACTTGCCCCAACAGTCTGTTAAGGCAACACGGGGGATCTTTGCCTTGTGTGTGTGCGCGTGCCTCCTCGTGTCCCCAGGAGGAGCCCAGCGTCGTGGAGACGGAACGGCAGTCAGTGACGTTCCACGACACAGGAAGCCGGCTCCTCGCAAGGCTGCCGATGGACCGTAAGCTCCCCGCCCAATCATAGAGATCTATTGTAATTTATGACTACTCACAAGTGACGACATCACATTTATCCCCCACAAATATTTGAGGCCTGAAACAAAGGAGAAGAATTTACCCACAACCCTGGCTGTCGCCCGATGATGCTGGTGGTTTTGGTTGATGTAATTACCGGCGAAACGTCACGGTACTCGAAATGTAAATGTTGTAAAGGGTTTACTCTCAAACACAACAACTGGTTAGTGCTGAACTAGTAACGAATCGGCATGTTTTGTTTGCTTGGCAAACCTCACTAATTTCCGGTGGTGGCGGGTTTAATGACACATTTATATGTTATGCAATCTAACCCGAAAACAAACATCTTATGGATAATATTGGTCGTGAAACCCTCCTACTGCTACTAAACTTGGCGCTAGCGTTGTTATCCCGTCGGTTGCCGTGGTGGCGGTGTCGTGGCCTCCGCTCCGCACCGGTTGTCAACCGGCGAGCAACTCGCTCGGCCTCACCAGGGTCATGCAAGCTTGGCGGAGCTGAACCTGGGTGGTCGTGCACTGGGCAGGTGGCCAGAATTGAACGCATGTGTGTGTGTGTGCGTGCGTGTGTGTGTGCGTGTGTGCGTGCGTGTGTGTGTGTGTGTGGGTGTGTGTGTGTGTGGGTGTGCGTGCGTGTGTGTGTGTGCATGCGTGTGTGCGTGCGTTTGTGCGTTTGTGCGTGTGTGCGTGTGTGTGTGCGTGTGTGTGCATGCGTGCGTATGTGTGTGACGAGCTGTGCTGCGTTTCCCAACAGATCCATCGCGACAAAAACAAAGCGGGATGCGGGGCATCCCATCATCGTGAGCGATCCCATTGCCGTACAGGTAAACGCGTGGCGACGACACGCGGTGGTGACACGTGACGAACCTGTGACGACGCGTGACGACGCGTGGCGACGTGACGACGGGTGACGATGTGTGATGATGATGCATGACGATGCGTGGTTACGTGTGGTGACACATGACGACGCGTGGTGACACGTGTGACGACGTGTGACGACGTGTGGTGACACGTGACGACGCGTGGTGACACGTGATGACGTGTGACGGCGCATGACGATGCTTGACGATGACGCGTGGTGACACGTGACAATGTGTGATGACGTGGGGTGACACGTGATGACGCGGGGTGACACGTGATGATGCGTGGTGACACGTGACGAACGTGTGGCGACGTGTGGCAATGTGTGACGATGTGTGACGACGTTTGACGATGTGTGGTGACACGTGACGAACGTGTGGCGATGCGTGACGATGCGTGACGATGCGTGACGTCGTGTGACGATGCGTGACGACGCGTGACGATGTGTGGTGACACGTGACTGACGTGTGTTGACACGTGACGAACGTGTGGCGACGCGTAGTGACACGTGACGAACGTGTGCTGACGCGGGACGACGCGTGACGACGACGCGTGACGACACCTGATAATGTGTGACGATGCGTGGCGACGTGTGACGACGGGTGACGATGTGTGGCGATGATGCATGACGACGTGTGGTGACATGTGGTGACGCGTGGTGATGCGTAGTGACACGTGACAATGCATGACGATGCGTGGTGACACGTGACGACATGTGACGACGCGTGACGATGTGTGATGACGCGTGACAATAACGCATGATGACGCGTGGTGACATGTGATGACGTGTGGTGACACGTGACAACGCGTGGTGACACGTGACGACCTATGACGACCTTTAACTACGTGTGACGACATGTGGCGACGCGTGACGACGTGTGACGACGGCGCATGACAATGACGCGAGATGACGACGAGATAGCGACACGTGACGGCTACGCGTGACGGCGACGCGTGGCGAAGCGCGTCTGCGCCCCGGTGGCCACAGCGTGACGACGTTACACATGTCCCCTCTCACAAAACCAACGGCCGTTTTCCGCCAAGTGGCGGTGACAACACCGCAGTGCTTTTGTGGCCAGGTCGCTTTTAAAAGAGAGCTACAATAGCTTAGTGAGTGTGGGGCCTTACCTGGTAAAATAAAAAAAATAACAAATTTGTATTCATCACATTAGGGTGAGGAGGTGAGGTGTTGAGGTGGGGTGATGGTGACGAGGCGTGGGGAGCGATCGGAAGGCTGCTGGTATAGAGGAGCAACACGGAGTCCGTGCAGAAAACAGGTTCCCTGAACAGACGGAAATAATCGAGGGTGGACGCCCCCTGGGCACCTGTTGAGCAGGTGAGGTGAGAGTAGGGCAAGAGGGGGGGGGGGGAAAGGAGGTTTTGGGGAGAATTAAATTTGATAATGAGCAGCAGCATTCCGGTGATCGTGCCACGTTGGCCGCACGTCGCCGAGAGAAGCGTGCTGACAACCGCGGCCGATGGCGGGAGGGACACGCATGCGGCCACAGAACCGGCGTGGAGCGGGAGTATCTCATCGGCTTGAGGACGAGCTACACCTGGGCAGGGCCGCATCATCGGAAGCGATGGTGGTTTTTTCGTCCACTCCAGAGATGGAGCGGCGGAATCAGCTCGTGTAGCATTGAGAGGCCTTCATCTAGCAGTGGATTTGCAAATGCAAATTATCGCCTTCGCATATTTACATTTTCTTTCCCGACCACGTTGATGTGTCAGTCGAGTAGCGGGGCTGCCGTTTGGTTGAGCAACAATGACCTTGAGGTTGGTCTGTCCTGCGTGCGTGGTGACTGCGACGTCTGGCGTGTAGATGAGAAGCAATCCGTTTGATGGAATTGTAGCGTCCAGTTTCTCGGAAGATGACGCCGGCGAGGTCCCGCCACCATCACGGCCTTCGTCAGAAGCATCCAGGACGTCGGAACCATCGCCGCGGGCCGCCACCGCCGCCGCCAAACTTCCGGAGAGCAACGACGGGAAGACTCCGCAAAAACATCGGACAGGGGCGAGCCGCAAAGAGGGAGAAAATACTCAGCCGAGTCGACCACCTTCTGGCGGGCAGCTTCCTGTCAGAGACAAACATCCACCACTCGCACAGGCGGCAGCAAAGTCGGAGGCGTTCAAGAAACGCGAAACCGGTCTGGGCGAATCGTCACCCGGTCGTTCCGATGAGCGAGGCTTTACCGCCGCCTCTGATCCTTCAGCAAATGCCACAGGCGACGGAGCCGGCGACTCCGAGCGCAATCACCTGCGAGCCGCCAGTAAGCCGTCGGCAGATCGCGAGGATGCCAGCATGGGGAGCGTCATCCCCAGCGTTCCCACGCGCCGAGAACGCGGGAAGTCTCCCCATGAAGCTGCGGGGACTTCCTTCAGTCGTGGAGGTTTGACGGAGGAGGAGGAGGGTGGGCACTCGCCAGCAGAGCCGGCATTGCCAGATCTGCGCCACCGCGAGCGAACCAGACAAACATCAAGCGAGAAGCATCGATCCTCTCCGAGACAACAGCGGGACCATTCTCGCTCGGACGAGCCTTGCCGCGTCGAAAGCAAAACGCGTGCGCAAGATATAGTCGGACATCCTGACGAAGCCGACGCTGCACATCGGTTCCCTGATGCGACGCCCCATTTGAACAAATCTCTGCCGTCGCCGCCCAGCGGCACAATGGACGACGCCGCCGCGCGGCCGAAGCCGACGGCCCCGGTGCCGCGGCCTCGTCGGCCTCGCGATGAAGTGTCGGGAGGAGACGTCTCCAGCGGTCAACTGAGATCACCGGCGGCGACGGAGAGCGGGGAGCCCGATGCCACAGACGACGGCCGAGTGGAGGGTGTGACGCGACCGCAGGTCGACTGTCATCGAGAGGCGCGTGCAGTGCGGGCAGCGGCGGAGGAGGATGAACATCGCTCCGAGGCTCCGCAGGCGGCGCCAAAAGGTGGCGTCGCCGGTGTTTCGCTGGCGCGGCAGAGGCACGGAGATTATTACAATGGAGAAACGAAACGCGCTGACGACAGGCGTCAGGAAGGTGGGTCACGTTGGGCTTCCACCGCTAACGAAGAGGTGGAAGAAGAACAAGGAGATGGGGAAAATTATCCGAAAGAAATGCAGGTGGTGGTGGCCGATGATGATGATCATTCCGGAAAGTATCCACGAAAGGAGCCTTTGAAAGCAGAACGAAAATCCAAACTGCCAGCACGAGGTGATTCCGGGGGAATAAAGGAGAGCGAGACAACGACTGATATCATGGGTTCTAAAGCAAGATCATCGCAGTCCCGTGCCAAGACGCTTGTAGAAAGCGACTTGAGGGTTGAGGCGATATCACCTGCAGTCGAGTACGAGGTGGAGCGCAGGTCACGCCAAAGCAATGATGACGTGCATCCCGCCAGTGACGCGCGTCCCACCAGCGACGCGCGTCCCGCCAGCGACGCGCGTCCCACCAGCGACGCGCGTCCCGCCAGCGACGCGCGTCCCACCAGCGACGCGCGTCCCGCCAGCGACGCGCGTCCATCCAGCGTCGCGCGTCCCACCAGTGACGCGCGTCCATCCAGCGACGCGCGTCCATCCAGCGACGTGCGTCCCACCAGCGACGCGCGTCCGTCCAGCGACGCGCGTCCCATCAGTGACGCGCGTCCCGCCAGCGGGAGCATCCGGAGCGATGCCTTCGGTGGGAATTCTCATTCCGGCTCCCTGAGGAAGGGCGCGCTCGGGCAAGACGGGGAGCCGGTCGCTCGGAACGTTAAACGCAGGACAGCGGCGGCTCCGGCTCCGCTCGTGCCCAAGATGATTTCCAAAAACGTCGAATCTCTCCTGGACAAGGTGGAAGTGATGATGGCGAAGGCGATTCTGGACGCGCCGAGCATCGGGAGCGGGAATTCTCCAAAAGGCAAGCGTGCCATGTCTCCAGACGACGGAGGAGTTTTCGTCTTGGAGGAGGAGGTGGAGGAGGAGGTGGAAGAGGTGGAGAAGGAGGTGGAGGAGGTGGAGGAGGAGGTGGAGGATGAGGAGGAGGGGGTGGAGGAGGAGGTGGATGGTACGGTGAGGGGCGGCGGCGCGACGAGGACGAGCGATGCAGCGAGGAGCACCGTCTTGCGGCAGGCCCACGACCCTCGTCGAGCGCCCTCACCAGGTGGCAGTGTTGAGGAGCACGACGCGACAATTAACACTCGGGGGAAGAGATCAGAACGTCGTGACGACGTCGAGGTCGCCCGTTACGACCAAGATGGCGGCGGTGATCACGACGATCGCGGTGATCACGATGGCGGCGGTGATCACGATGGCGGCGGTGATCACGATGGCGGCGGTGATCACGATGGCGGCGGTGATCACGATGACGGCGGTGATCACGATGGCGGCGGTGATCACGATGGCGGCGGTGATCACGATGGCGGCGGTGATCACGGCGATCGCCGCTGTCGTGTGCCGGAAATCACGGTGAGCAGCGCCAAGGAGACTCCTCCGCAGGCTTCTCCTGCGTCCAGGTAAAGAGCGGCCACGTTGAGACCGCCGACACCGACAGCGCCCGTCACCACTCCGCTGCCACGAACGCCACCGCTGCTGCTGCTGTTGTCACTGCTGCTGATGCTGCTGCCGCCGCTGGTGCCGCCGCTGCTGCTCACATCAGCCACATTGAGGCAGTGCCATCGCTCATCCCAGATTTATCTCATTTGCAGCCCCTCTACAGCCAATTAGTGGAAATTCCACATTCCTATTGTGGGATCTAGTTACTACGCCACTGATAATGTAGTGACTACGCCACTGATAATGTAGTTACTACGCCACTGGTAATGTAGTTACTATGCCGCTGATAATGTAGTGACTACGCCACTGATAATGTAGTTACTACGCCACCGGTAATGTAGTTACTATGCCACTGATAATGTAGTGACTACGCCACTGGTAATGTAGTTACTATACCACTGATAATGTAGTGACTACGCCACTGATAATGTAGTTACTACGCCACTGGTAATGTAGTTACTACGCCACTGATAATGTAGTGACTACGCCACTGATAATGTAGTTACTACACCACTGATAATGTAGTTACTACGCCACTGGTAATGTAGTGACTGCGCCACTGATAATGCAGTTACTACGCCACTGATAATGTAGTCACTACACCACTGATAATGTAGTCACTACACCACTGATAATGTAGTTACTACGCCACTAATAATGCAGTTACTACACCACTGATAATGTAGTGACTACGCCACTGATAATGTAGTCACTACACCACTGATAATGTAGTTACAGCACCACTGATAATGTAGTCACTACACCACTGATAATGTAGTGACTACGCCACTAATAATGCAGTTACTACACCACTGATAATGTAGTGACTACGCCACTGATAATGTAGTCACTACACCACTGATAATGTAGTTACTACACCACTGATAGTGTAGTTAGTACACCACTGATAATGTAGTTACTACACCACTGATAATGTAGTGACTACGCCACTGATAATGTAGTTGCTACGCCACTGATAATGTAGTTACTAAGCCACTGATAATGTAGTTACTAAGCCACTGATAATATAGTTACTACGCCACTGATAATGTAGTTACTACGCCACTGATAATGCAGTCACTACGCCACTGATAATGTAGTTACTAAGCCACTGATAATATAGTTACTACGCCACTGATAATGTAGTTACTACACCACTGATAATGTAGTTACTAAGCCACTGATAATGTAGTTACTACGCCACTGATAATGTAGTTACTACACCACTGATAATGTAGTTACTACACCACTGATAATGTAGTTATTACACCACTGATAATGTAGTTACTACACCACTGATAATGTAGTTACTAAGCCACTGATAATGTAGTTACTACACCACTGATAATGTAGTTACTATGCCACTGATAATCTAGTTACTATGCCACTGATAATGTAGTTGCCACGCCACTGATAATATAGCGACTATGCCACAGATGATTTTCTTACGACACTACTGGCGCAGCCCCCTCGCTCATGCCAAGAGAAATGTGATGCTTTTTGAAGAAACTGTCAACCACCACAGATTGCCTGGAGATGCGTCGGACAATGACGACGACCTGGCAGCGCCGGGGAGGCCGGGATGTATGCCAGGAGCGGGCGCCCTGGACATTGGCAGCGCCGTCATGGGTGAGTGGACCGGTCGAGATGTCCGGTGAGGCTGACCGAGCGAATGAGTCTGTGACTGTGGCGATACTGTGGCGACACTGTGGCATGACCGGGGTGGCAGGGTGGCACTGAACGAGACGGTGACCCAGGTGGCACCATGGCACCGAGTGAATCGGTGACCGGGGCGGCACCGTGGCATGACCGGGGTGGCAGGGTGGCACCGAATGAGTCTGTGACCCCGGGTGGCACTGTGGCACTGAATGAGATGGTGACCGGGGTGGCACCGTCGCATGACCAGGGCAGCAGGGTGGCATCATGGTACTGAATGAGTCGGTGACCAGGGCGGCACTGTGGCATGACCGGGGCGGCAGGGTGGCACCGAATGAGACGGTGACCCGGGTTTCAATCCCAACTCCCGCGACCTTCCTGTGTGGTGCGTGCACGTTCTCCGCCAGTTCTCCGCCAGTTCTCCGCCAGTTCACCGGTTCTGCAGAGTGAGTGCGAGGGACCCAAGTTTAATTCCCACTCTCATCTAACACCGGTGACAAATGTCTGACCCGATCCTGCGCCTAGCCCTAGGTCGGACTCAGCCTGGTTCATCCACCCCCTCGTGTGCCGTGCCAGCAGGCTTCATACAGTAGGTGCTCACTATAACAGCACTTGTCCCAACAGTCTGTGAAAAGGATTGTTGACTCCACTCTCTCCTTACCCCCTGTTCTCCAGTATGAATGAGGTGTGTGTGTGCGCGCGATTGAGTGAGGTGTAAGAGTGTGGAGTTTGTATTCTCTTCCCCCTGTTCAGCATAGGTTTTCCTCCGGATTCTCCAGTTTCATCCTATCATGAACAAAAAATCCCCCCTCAAAAGCATTTGACTAAACCATTTGTTTTTTTTACCAGGTAAGGCCCTATTGAGCGGTGTAGCTCTTTTTCAGAAGTGACCTGGCTATCACAAATGATAGCACAATGAAGCGGCTTATCACGGGAAAATGTATAGCAGCCAAACACTCTAAATGCATGTTGACTCTAAATGTGGAGGGGAAAACTGGAGGGCCCGGAAAAAAATCCACGTGACCACGGGGGGAGAGACACCGCAAACTCCAAATACAAAGCAGGCATCAGAGTCGGGATCGAACCCACAACCTCCTGTATACCAGGCGAGGTAGTTACATCTCCTAGCCACCGTGGTGCCCCAAACCACATCGCAACGCCGAGAGATGATCTGCAAACTTGCGCAACTGGGATCGCACTAGCGCAGCAGCAAACAGGATATCTCGATAACGAAGAGTCTTTGAGACTGGCCGAGGCTTTGCCGGGCAGGGCGAGCGTCGGTAAGAAACAGCGCTGCCGGCCGAAATAACCGTTAGACGGAGTTAACGGAACGTCGTTATTACACTGCCCCCCTCCCCCCCCAAATATCGGCTGGGGGCCCGCGGAGTGTCCCGGTGTCTCCACGGAGGCCTTGTTGCGCTTTAGTATGTACCATGTATGTTGAACTTCTTTCGCACCGTATGTAGCCAACCGTGTTAATTGGAAGTTTGGGGGAAGGACAACAAACTATGGGTCTCTGTGTGAGTATGGGTCTGTGTGAGTATGGGTCTGTGTGAGTCTATGGGTCTCTGTGTGAGTCTATGGGTCTGTGTGAGTCTATGGGTCTCTGTGTGAGTCTATGGGTCTGTTTATGTTTGTGTGTGTTGAACTTTTTTCGCACCATACGTAGCCAACCGTGCTAATTGGAGGTGCGCGGAAAGGACAACAAACTAAACAAAAAAAGCAGTTCTAAAGAAATGAGTTTGTAAATCCCGATTATTTAAAAGTACATGGCCCTCAAGTGGCTTCCCAACATTCGGAAGGGAAGAGCGTTCCAGACCGCCGCGGAAGCGCATCCGAAAGCGCTCGCGACGCGGTGACCACTGTCTTCGTTCGGTGGTCAGCCAAAAGCCGCCGCATTTCTCGACGGCCATTCACGCCGCCGCTGTGTCCGCTGCGCCGGCGTCTCGGTGGAGCTGAGAGCTTCCCGACATGCACAATCCCGGATCGCGCAAGGCACCCTACGGCTTCGTGGCTGTGCTCCGGCGGCGACCCTTATCGCCGTTGAGACACGTCCGCTTGCCACAGCCTGTGTTGAGGATCTGTGCGAGCTTAGCCTCGAGTTGATGCCGCGTCCGTTGTGTGCGCTACGCCGCAGGGAACGGCATGAGCCCCGTCGCGAGGATGCTCGCTCGGGCGAACAAGAGCAACAACAACAAGCAGATGCTGTCGCATAGCGTGGAGGAGCTGTCGGCCGCCACGGGTGAGCACGGCGCTGGGCGCGCCACGATCAGCGCGGTTGGCTACGTGCGGTGCGAAAGAAGTTCAACGCGTATGCGCGCACACACGCAGATACGTCGACAGCCGTGCGAGGAACGTGGCCGTGCGCGAAACAGAGCGGAACGAAAGCTGAAACGAGATGCACTGCCTTCATCCAGCAGTGGATTGACCATGGCCAAAAATGATGATGACGATGATGACGGCAGCGATGATGATGATGACGATCATGATGACTATGACAACGAAGACACTGATGATGATAATGATAATGACAGCGACGATGATGATGACGATGATGAAAGCAACGATGATGACGATGATAACGATGATGACAATGATAACGACGATGATGATGATGATGACAGCGACGATGATGATGATGACTATGATAACGATGACGATGACGCCAGTGACCATGATGATGACGGTAATATAAGTGTCTCGTTATTTCGCATTTCAGGTAACGGCCAAGACCCGGAGCCTGCGGAATCGGTGAATTTGAGCCGATCTGTGCCAGATCTGTTGGCATCGGACGAGGTAAGACTCGTTGGGAACGGCTGAAACTTGTCTTCCCAAATGACAACTCGCGGACAAATGCCCAGCGTGCAATGTGGAAAACGAATATTGGGATGTGCTAAATGTCGCCAAGCGGTTCTTGCGGCAGCTCCGTTAACCGCAAACCCCTACATCCACCATCTGCTGTGCAGCGGCGGACGTCAGTGTCCCAGCAAAGCCGTTGGAAAAGAGTCGGCGATCGTGCATCGGCATCTTGGTGCTGGGTTGGACCCTGAGTGGCACGGGGGAGAGATCGTACGTCCGTCCATCTTTCTGTCTGTCCGAGTGAGCAGCGAGATTTCTGCCTTGCCTGTAACTCCCAAAATGTCGCGGCACACCGGGTACTTTGCCACGGCAGCACACCGGTGTGAAGTCACCGCGGTGTATGCCGGTCACGAAGCTCGTGGACGAGACAACGCACCCAGGTTTAAAACAACCGGACGCGCGCCGCTGGCCGCGATGACGGAGTGGCGGCCTAGCGGACGCCCCCCGCGGAGGTAGAGTGATGAAGATGGGAGGTGGCGACGGCGGCGTGGGGGAGGCCTTCACCCAGCAGTGGATTAACCATGGCTGATGGTGACGGCGGTGATTGTGTGTTCGTTCCCAGAGTGAAAAGGAGGACGAGACTGACTCCATGACGGAGAACTACAACTTCCGACTTCACCGGAAGACCGGCAGCACCGTGACGAGCCACACCGTGTCCAGCTTCACGTCGTCGTCAGCGTCGGTGAGACGCACGCAGTGTGGCACGGGCTGTGACGCGGGCTGTGACGCGGGGTGTGACGCGGGGTGTGACGCGCGGTGTGACGCGCGGTGTGACGCGCGGTGTGACGCGCGGTGTGAATGAGGTCGCCGCCTTCTCTGAACCGGCAGTAGCGCGATCGGCCGCTCGTCGCAGAGGTTCGTGGTTCGAATCTGGCAGGGCTCCCAGGTTCATACTGCGGTGTCAATATCATCATCACACATCATTAACCGCAGCATAAAAATAACGAATCATAATTCATAATTACGATGAAGCTGAGATCGTGTGCGGTGCGCTCGCGGTGTGCAGGTGAGCAGCAGCATGATGAGCCTGTACAGCGAGGCGGGCGACTTTGGGAGCGTGAGCGTGACGGGCGAGGTGGAGTTCTCGCTCTCCTACGAGGACCGCCGCGGTGAGCTGCTTGTCCACGTGAACCGCTGCCGTGGCCTGGCAGCCGCACACGGCAAGAAGAACCGCTCCGACCCGTGAGCACCAACACCACCACCTACGTGACCGCCACTGCCACCGCCACCACTGTCACAGCCACCACCACTACCACCACCGCCACTGCCACCACAACTACCACCACTGTAACTGCCGCTGCCACGACCACTGCCACCACCGCCACTGCCACCACCACCGCTGCCGCCACCACCGTCACCACAACCAAATGAGCAAAATCACAATAACGGTACTCACTGCTGAATAAAATAAACATTCACTTCATAGGAGCAGTGAATAAATATAATTATTACACTCTTCTCCAAACATTGGCTGGGGCAGGGTGCCCTGGTGTTTTCATGGAGTCAGCGTGGCTACGGTCGTGTGGTTAATGTGAGCCAATCCACGGCATCCGTGGTGGTGGCTGAGTGGAGCAGTCCGCTTGTTCCACCAGAACATGCGTGGTTGTATTGGGGTAGCTGAGTGGAGTAGTCCGCTTACTAGAATCACGTTTGGCTGGACCCTCGTGAAAAAGAGTCTTGAGACTCGGCGAGACTTGGTAAGCCACAACAAGAGGAACAATGAGATGCCTCTTCCCTCTCCCCCCTTGCCAACAGCTACGTGAAGATTTACCTCCTGCCAGACAAATCCCGGCAGAGCAAACGCAAGACGATGGTGAAAAAGAAAACCCTGGAGCCCATGTACAGCGAAGTTCTGCGCGTGCGTAACCACCGCCACCACCACAACAACCTCTACCACCACCACAACAGCCACCTCTACCACTACAACCACCACATTTCCCCCCGTATTCTACAGTAAAAGTTTGGGATGTGTCTTACAATCAATAGCGATGTGCATGCGTGCATGCATGCGTGTGTGTGCATGTGTGTGCGTGTATGTGTCCGTGCGTGTGTGTGTGCGTGTGTGTGTGCGTGCATCCTGGGTTTAACTAGGCTGGATTGTGTGAGGAGCTTACAAATCCTTGAAAAATCTGAACACATTCCCATCAGTGAGCTCCTCCAGCAGGCAAGGCCTCATTTGGCTGGGTCACGTAGCCCGCATGCCCAGCCACCGCAAGCCCAAGCAGCTTCTGTTTGGCCGCATAGAGGGGGCTAAACAGGCACGACACGGGCTGGAGAAGATGTGGAGTGATGTGGGACGGGAGGATGTGGAGCTGAGTGGACTTGCCGACGACTAGTTCCAGTGGTGTCAACATCGGCCTCTGTGGAGGAGGCTCGTGAAGGACGCTACTGGGAAGTTGGAGGCAGTCACCCTCCAGCAACAACGGAGGGCAGAGAAGTGATGCTCACAACAACGTGTGGAGCGCCGAGCGGAAAAAATACAACAAGTTGGCACAGTACAGATAACCCGCTGCGTGGCTGCTGCTGCTGCTGCATCTCCGCTCGTCTGTGGGTGGTTGGGTGAGTGAATGAGTGGGTGGGTGACTGAATGAGTGGGTGGGTGGGTGAGGTTCCGCCTCCTGGCGCAGGAGGTCGCGGGTTTGATCCCGACCCTGCCACTGTGCGTGACCCTGTGCCAGTACAAGGTGGACAGAACGGAGCTGAGGAAGCGGGTGCTGAACCTGTCGGTGTGGCACAACGACACGTTCGGCAGGAACATCTTCCTGGGGGAGGTCAACCTCATCCTCAACAGCTGGGACTGGGCCAACCACGTAATGAACTGGTACACGCTGCAGCCAAAGGTGAGGCGTGGTGGCGCGGGTGTGTGTGCATGCATGTGTGCGTGCGTGTGCGTGCGTGCGCCACCACGAGACATAAGCGGCCCTCCGGGTTTTTGCGCGCATTTCATCCTCTCCGTGGCATCTGGCTGACCACCGAACAAAGATGGTCACCGCATCGCAAGCACTTTCGGATGCGCTTCCGCGGCCGTCTGGAACGCGCTCTACCTTCCCGATGTTAGAACTGCATTTAGTGTTTAGTTTGTCATCCTTCCCCTCCCTGCACACCTCTAATTAGCACGGTTGGCTATGTACAGTGCGAAAGAAGTTCAACGTACATACACACACACGTGCTATGGTCAAAGGTCGAGTCGGTGATGCCCTGCCATTCAAATGAGCCACATCGAGGCATTGGTTTACAACCCTGCTGCAGAGCCAGTGATGGAAATTCCACATTCCTATGGTGGGGGGGGGGGGTGAGCCTATCTTCCTCACCCTGGAGGGATGATGTGGGCTGAGTCAACCCACCTCCCCTAACCAGGGTTGGTAAGATGAATATGTAGAGGGCATTGATGAGGATGGTCGGCTCTGCCTCAACCGAGTACCTGGTAAAGTGTGTAAACATTTCCACTCGGGATACAAAGGCGGCCAGGCGTGGTGGTGCTGGCCACCCACCATTTCGTGTGGCGCGCCAGCCTTGTGAGTACGTATGTTGAACTTCTTTCGCACCCTACGTAGCCAACCGTACTCATCGGAGGTTCGGCCCTTCATGGAGGCCGCTCCCTCAACAGCACATACCCAAAACAGTCCGTTTTAGGCCGCACGGTGGATCTTTGTCTTCCTTCGATGATGACAGTGAGCAGAGCGATGTTCCCGCAAGAGGTTTTTGGGGTTTGATCACGTAAAAAAAAAGTGTCGTTAAACCCGCCACACACCCGACACAGCCAATTAGTAAGGGTTTGTCACGTAAACAAAACGTGCCGATTCGTTACTAGTGCAGCACTAAACTGGTTATGTTTTGGAGAGTAAAACCCACTACAACATTTACAAAGCCTACATGTTAAACAGTGACGTTGCCTTGTCCATTTCAGGACTTCACAAGCACAGAGCCGGCACAGACCAGGGGCCAGATCCTCATTGGGCTCAAGTTCATTCCGGCAAATTCTATCGGTGAGCACTCAATCCGCGACCCGCACTGAAACCATTCCAACGGAGAATCGACAGCAGCAGCACCAGGTGGCGGACGGCTCGGGCAGGCCTTTGTCCAGCAGTGGATAGATCATGGCTGACGACGACGATGATGATGATGACGCCTCTCCAGTGTTACCGCTTATTTGAAGTAGAGAGACCAAGTACTACGAAAGCACTTGCAAATGGCAACATCACCCCTCGCACTCTCCTGTTTTTTCGCCAGCCAGCCCAGGCCTTCCAGCATACTGGAGCTGGCTTCTCATTATTGCTGGGGACGTCGAATTTAATCCAGGCCCGTTTTTCCTTGTGGGGGCTGCGGCAAGAACGTCAATGCAAATTCTATCAAATGCAACGGTTGTAAAGCTTGGTAACCACAAACGCTGCACTACTTTAGCCCGCATCCCCAGTTCAAATTCCAGCTGGTTCTGCAAATATTGTACATCATCCACTCCAACAACTCCTACTTGCACAACCACACTAGCACCACCACCTCATCCACTGCAACCACCGTTTCAACCACAATAAAACGTCCACATCTAAAACGACATACAAATCCTTCAACTAAACATCAACGGCATCAACAACAAATATCTTGAACTCAGCACCTTCCTACAACAAAACTCCATTAAAATAGCCGCCATCCAAGAAACAAACTTAAAATCCACTTCTCACCCACCCAACTTTCAAAATTTCACTTTCCTCCATCGAGACCGACCTGGTGGCGGTCTAGCTTTCCTCATCTATAACAGCATTACATTTGAAGAAATTAAAATCCCAATGCCTCCTTCTGATATCACTACAGAAGTCTTAAGCATCCGTATCAAATCCCATCTAGGCCCATTCACTATAACCAACGTCTACATCCCACCGACCAGGTATTGCCCTCACAACTATCAGTTCAATATAAATCGACCAAACAACGACTCAATTGTTATTGGAGATTTCAATGCCCACAACAAACTTTGGAACTCTTCCCTTTCAAATACACGTGGCGACCTCTTTGCCGATATCTTGAACGGCTCCCCCTATGGGGTGCTCAATGAAAAGAATCAAACCAGAGTTCCGTCATCTGGCCTTTCATATTCACCAGATATCTCAATAGCGTCAGGAAACCTCCTTTCATCAATCGACTGGCAAGTCATTACGGCCCTTGGATCCGACCAATGCCGCCAAGCCTTCACAAACTCCTAAAAACCGCTTGTATTATAACTTTAAAAAGCCAATTGGCCACTTTTTACTTCAGAATTAGAAGCATTATTCGCCGACAACATCAACCATATCCACACATCCGCAAATAACTGAAAAGATTTTCAGAAACATCATCGCGACTACCACCAAGCACACCATCCCGGCGGGTTGCTACAAGCAACACCTTCCCTGCTTCCCTAAAGAAGCTTCAACGCTAATAAACCAAACTGTAAATGTTGTGGATTCACTCTTCAACACACCGGTGGGCTAAAGTAGTGAACTAATTGTCCTTTGTCAGCGTGACACTTTTTTGCAGATTGGCCGTGTCGGGTGGTGGAGGGTTACGACACATTTATAAATAACGCGATCTAACCCAAAAACCTTTATTTTGAAACCAAAGAAACACTATTAGGAATAAAAATCCTACATCACCACAAATCCCAGCCTTCAATATTGACATCACAAAGCTAATCAATCAAGCTAAAATAGAACGCTGGCATGAGTTTGAATATTTTGACCACCGCCAAAACTCATCAAAACTTTGGAAGACTATCAAAGCCTTAGACGGACACTCCAAACCGCCACCCAATTGTGCAATCACTTTCAACAACAAATCCGTCATAAACAACTTCAACAAAGTTTTCTCATCAGTCGTCCCACACTCTTCCAATAAATCCACCCGTCAAAAAATCCGTCAAATCAAGGAACTACCTCTAAACGACGCCCCCCAATTTAGCCTTGAAGAGGTGAAACTAGCTATCAAAAAAAGCCAAAAATTATTCCGCAATTGGCCCGATGGCATAGCTATGCCCCACCTCAAACACCTCGGCCCCCTTGACATAAAGTTTCTCGCCTCCACCGTTAATGCCTCACTCCAATGCAACCTCATTCCGGCCATCTGTAAATCATCGACAATCATTCTACTTCCAAACCCAGCAAAGACCTAAATCAAGCAACGTCCTACAAGCCAATTTCCCTACTTTGCCCATCAATCAAGATTTTAGAGGCCCTTATCCTTCCAATCATCACCACCAACTTACCTCCATCATTCCACCAACATGGCTTTCGCCCTGCACACTCAACAACAACAGCTCTTCTCAACCTAACCACCCAAATTCCAAACGGTTTCAATGAGAAAAAGCCCCCATCCCACACTATCGTCGCTTCCCTTGCCCTTACAAAGGCTTTCGACACCGTTAACCACCTCACGCTCATTGAAATCATCCAGGGTTCTACGCTACCATCAGGCCTTGTTTGCTGGCTTACAAATTACCTAAGGGGCCGCCAATCACGCACTCTCTTTCGTGATATTCAATCCTCCTCACGAAACATTCATGCAGGAGTACCACAAGGTTCCATAATATCCCCAGCCTTGTTCAACGCCTACCTCCATGATCTACCAACTCCTCCAAAAGGCGTACAAGTAGTCAGCTATGCCGACGACACCACAGTTTACACTACTAATCAAACTATACCCAAAATGGAAAACTCCATCAACTCCTATCTAAATCGGCTTAGCACTTTCCTAGCCAATTGATCGCTTCAACTCTCAACATCCAAATAAATAGTCGTCACCCTTTTGACACCTGATCCTCATCAAGCCAACTTACATCCCAACGTCATACTAAACAACCAACGCCTCCCACTAGCAAGAACCCCGAAAATTCTAGGTGTAATCTTTGACACAATGTTCAGCTTCGCTCACACGGCAGAAACGTCCATGCAAAAGTTAACAAACGAAATTACATTTTACAAGCTTTAGCCAGCACATCTTGGAGTCAACAAAAGGATACTTTACTCCTAACCTACAAAGCCATTGGATGTCCCAATCTCAATTATGCCAGTCCCATTTGGTGCCCAAACCTCTCCTCAACAGGTTACCAAAAGCTCCAAACCGCCCAAAACCAAGCACTTCGCCTAGCCACAGGATGCCACCTCATGGCGCCCATTGACCATCTCCACCAAGAAACCAAACTTCTTCCTATTCAAGAACACTGCAAGCTTCTCACCGATCAATATCTGGCTTCATGCCACTCGACAACGCATCCTTGCACAAAGCTACTCAAAGCCCCCCTGCACCTGCTAGGAAAATGAAATCCACCTTGCTTTCCCCTTCAGCTCTGCCGACGTGCAATCGACTTTAAACGCTCTTCCACCAAATCGCACCAAATCAATTTTGAACCACTTGCACACCACTGCTACCATGCACTGCCTGAACGTGCTAGGGGGTTGGCCCCCACCCATAGCAGATGACGAAAAATCCCAGACCCGGGCAACTCGCACAAAACTGGCTCAACTCCGTTCAGGTTACTGCTGCTCCATGCTAGCCGATTACCAAAATCGAATCGACCCAAACGCCCCAAACTGCTGCTGCGCTTTGTGCCAAGCAAGGCCAGAAGACTTCTTCCATTTTCTCAGTTGCCCAAAACGCAGACCTAAAATTAAATCTATTGATCTCTGGCTAAACCCTTCCAAAGTGGTGACACAATGCCACCTATAAACAGAAAGTGCGAGGAAAACAACAACAACAACATGATGACGCATTAGCTCTACACTCTGGGGACTGTTGTCGATTTGCCCATTGTTCAACCGGTGACGGTCTTAACGTGTCTGGGAGCAGGGACCGTGGCATTTGCCGTGCTTCGAAAGACCCGACGAGGTTTAAGAGGGAGAGACACGTGGTTGAGCTCGTGTGCCGATGGAATTACAATTCCATACCATTTCTTGTTTGGGGAAAAGAAAAAAAACAATCGCACTCCTGAGGGGAAAATAAAAAAATAATTTATAAAGTGCCCTCAAACAATCGTTCTCAGAGCGCTGAGAACGATACAATTAAGCGACGGTCCAGGCAATCGTCTGGGCCCTTCTTAAGAGGGCACATGTTGCGAAGGAGGTCTGGGAAATCCGTACCCCCAGCCACCCCCCCAACCTACTCTTGTTTCCCCTTTGTTGTATGGCAGCTGCCACCGCACCGTGTAACCGTCAGCAGCGCTGCTTTCACTCCCATCTCCCAGCGTGGCAGTCGAGACAACAGCGGCGAGTTTCTTAAATCCCCCCCCCTGCCCCAACGCCTTTGTCCACCCAGCAGTGTCAAAACAAATGGGTTCATTGTAGTTAGGTCGACAGGCAGCTCGCGCGTGGTGGGGTGAAGTGTGGGAACTCCCACCTCTTCTTCCAAGAAGGTACTGACCAGCGTGGCAGACTAGGCCCAAAAAATATCCTCTGCCGGCCAGCAGCGGCGTGAGCCGGGATAATTGCAGGGCCCTGGCGCCTTCACTTTTAACCGTTCCTCCCTCGGCGACAGGTGGCCAGAGTCCACCCACGGGCGAGATCCACATCTGGATCAAGCAGGCCAACAACGTGCTCCCCCACCGAGCGCAGGGGGTCGACTCGTTCGTCAAGTGGTGAGTCCCGACGCGCACGGCCGGTTAGTGCGCCGACATTACGCCCTCCGCCCTCACCCGCCCCGTGCCCTCCGCCCCAGCCGTGTGTCCACACACAATTGTGCTGGATATTCCTAGCGTGTTTATCGCATCAAATGGCACACTGCCGTACATCCTAATTTTGTAAGACGAGGGAAAGCAGAGCACCCAAAGAAAACCCGTACAGATGGAAACAGATGGCGATTATATTCATATTCTTAGCTCTTTCGGTAAAGTCACGTTGAAGGGAAACAATAAAATAATAAAATATATATAAAACAATAAAAATTCTCACGACGTTTCGACCATAACACAAACGGTTGTCATCAGGTGTGTCGGTTTGCATAAATTTATGTGGGTTTGCATATGAGAATTTTTATTGTTTTATATATATTTTATTATTTTATTGTTTCCCTTCAACGTGACTTTACCGAAAGAGCTAAGAATATGAATTACTGCAGTCACGAAAGCTTTAAATCAAAAGATGGCGATTAATCCGCTTGCGGTACCACCTTCTCCTAGTGAGCCAGGGGTATGGGCATCTCCTAAGACCCTCACGGGGAGTTTCACGTCATTGGTGTGGCGATCTGGCAACCCCCTCGCCTCCAGACTTGCCGACCCAACGACGGACGCGTATTTTTCACTTGTTGATTTTAAGCTTCGAATCTTCAACAACAACAAAAAGTTGAATTTACCCTAACGTGCGCTCTCTCTCTTGCTGACGTTCAGCTACATCCTTCCGGACACGAGCCGGAAGAGCCGCCAGAAGACGCGGGTGATCCGCAAGTCGATAAACCCGGAGTACAACCACACGATGGTGTACGACGGCTTCCGCGACCAGGACGTGCTGCAGGCGTGCGTGGAGCTCACCGTCTGGGACCACGAGAGGTTCTCCACCAACCAGTTCCTGGGCGGCGTGCGGCTCGGCAACGGAACCGGTGAGCGCCGGGCCCTCCCTCCCTCCCTCCCGCCCGCCCGCACACCCATCCTTTTAAGGGTGGGGGGGGGTCACGCTCGCAAATAACAATAATACAGTTGAAGGAGCGAAACAGGGGGACTTCTCCACAAATGTGGCTGTCGCCTGATGAAGCTAGTTGTAATTACTGGCGAAACGTCGTACTCTGATTGTGAATGTTGTGGCTTGGCTCTCCAACACACCAGTGTGCTGTACCAGTGACGACTTGGCACGTTCTGTTTACGTGACAAACCTTACTAATTGGCTGTCAGGTGGTGGCAGGTTTAACGGCACATTTATATATTTATATAAATCCGGCGCCTCCTCCCCCACCCCCCGAAGCCGCAAGATGAATCGACGATTGACTGTAGTAGTAATATTGTCCGCTTGTGACGCACTTGTTACGTATGCGTGTATGCTGAACCTCTTTCGCACCGTGCGTTGGCTACCGTGCTATTTTGGAGGTGCGGGGGAAGGATCGACAAACTAAACACAGAGAAGTTCTAAAGACATTCGTTTTACATCCTAGAGGGGCGGGGGGGGGGAACCACAGACAAGCGGGAAGGTGGCAGCCACTCGGTGATCCGGCGTCAATAATCGCCAAGGCTCTGTGGCCCTCCCTATAGAGGGTGCTTCAAAGCAATGTTAACACTTACATGGGACTATCGTTTGTAATGGAAAAAGAATGGATAATAATACACTGCAACGTGATAATAAATGTAACGTTAATAGCTTAAAAAAGTCAGTCTCTACTTGTTGGCCATCATTGTCAACACATTGCCTGGAATCTTCTCCAGGTGGTTTCCAGAGCCCGGAAGCACATTTCTCGTGGTATTGTTGCAAATTCTCGGAAGTGAGGAAATCGGAGCGGCCCGGAGGAGGAGCCATTTCATCCCACACAGATGCAACGTTTGTGCGATCCACCAACTCTCGCTTGCCTCCACAGCGCTGGGTGACCGGCGTGCGTAGCCAGCGGGTTACCAATGAATGGCGTCGCTCCGGCACATGCCACAGCGGTGTCACGGGTAACACGCCGGACTTCGCCGGTTCAATTCCATCTCCTGACGCGGCAGTTGCCGCAAGGGCACGGGACTCCAAATTCCCCAGTGGGTACGTGGCAGCCGATCGGGGAGGTCGCGTGCTCTAGGCTGTAGTGTGGGGGTACTCTTGCGAGAGACATCCGGCCGGCGTGGAAAGAGAGGAGTAGGCCTCTTGAGCGGGGCTGGGGCCTTTCCCTGTTCACCCGCGAGCCACCGATACCGATGGCTGCGTGGCCGGCCGATGACCGCGTGGTTGTGCGTTGACCACGTGGTTGTGCGTTGACCACGTGGTTGTGCAATCACATCGTGGTTGTGCGGTTGTCGCCTGTGCCGACGCTTGGCAGGCATGAGCTACGGGCAGCTCGTGGAGTGGATGGACTCGCGCGGGGAGGAGAGGCGCCTCTTCGAGGAGATGGTGTCTCGGCCCGGCGAGTGGGTGGAGGGCGTCCTTCCCCTGCGCACCAACATGGCCACCACCCAGGACTTGAAGTGATTCTCGGGAGGCGAGACTCTGCAATCCACGGAGGCCGGCGACGTCCGACTCCGCTTGCCACGTTGGCACGGGACGGGCGCTTCGGATGCGTCGCAAGCGTTTCAGATTTCATTTTTTGTCAGACAATTGGATTGTTGAGGACCATTCTTGTTTGGGGGAAACTTAAAATTGGTGAAGAACGCGCGCTCGAACAAAGGCGGCGCCGCCCCCCAATGGTGTGTCGCTTTCGGGTGGAAAAGTGTGCGGAAGCAACGCCAACAACAACAACGACGTTGTTTTCTGGGCCCGGTTCTCAGATCAATCTAAGAATCAGATCTCGAATCCAGTCTTTGTAAAAAAAAAAAACACTTACTTTTTTAAAAAGACACTTATTTTTTGACAATTTTCTAACCATCCTCTAAGGCTGCAATAACACGTCACAGGCTTCTTACGGTGCACTTATGAACAGAACGCCGCTGAAAGTTTTAAAAAAGTTTTTAAAAGCACATATGGCTACGTACGGTGCAAAAGAAGTCCATCGAACAAAGATGGCGACTGCATCGCGCACTTTGAGATGTGCTTCTGCGGCCGTCTGGAATGCTCTTCCTTCCGATTTTAGGAAGCCGCTGGGGCTTATGCACTTTTAAATAATCGTCATTTAGATTGACAAACTCATTTCTTGATAACTGATTTTCGTGTTTACTTTGTCCTTCCGCCGCACCTTCGATTAGCATGGTTGGCTACCTATGGTGCGAGAGAAGTTCAACATGCGTACAACATGCATACGTGATTATCTTGTTTAACACGTAGGCTTTCGCGACCAGTATCATCCATGATGCAGGTTCATATGTATTCATGAATCCCCCCCCTCCTCCCACTTGACGCAGGAAGGGCACACACGTGATAATCATCACATCTCTTCCTCTATTTCAGGAACGAAACAGGAGGATCTCTCCACAAATTTGGCTTGTTGCCTGATGAAGCTAGTTGTAATTACTGGCAAAACGTCGAACTCGGATTATAAATGTTGTGGCTTTGCTCTCGAACAGACCGGTGTGCTGTACTTGTAACGAATTGGCACGTTCTGTTTACGTGACAAACCTCACTAATTGGCTGTGTCGGGTGGTGGTGGGTTTAAAGGCACATTTATATGTTTACGCGATCGAACACAAAAAAACAACCTGTATTATGGATAATTATCTTCTGCTCTTGAGATATCGTGTACAGCTGTCAGTACGCCGCACGCTTCATGTGGTCACGTTCATGGTACTTGGCATTTCGACATCGGCCGGTCACGTTCGGGGTGAATCCACCAACCGCCACCGCCTCTTCCAATTGGCATATATTGCTCCTGCTGTTGCTATTATCAGAAACTGGAAAACTTAACAACAAACCTTTCTTAACATTCAATATTTTAATGTAAAAAAACTTTTCATCGAAGTAGGATAAATGCATTTTGCAGATGTCCAAGGGATCCCTTTAATGAAAAAATAATACCATTGTTTATAGGATAAGCATAGGAATTGTTATTTAACATGGAATGTAATGTTTATTACGCAGTTACGTCGTCTTAACTGAACGCCACACACAGTTGGATCTTATTTGCAAACAGTCTGAAATTGAAGAATAACAATCATATTTACGGCCCTTTGTCAATCCACTGCCAGACGAAGGCCTCCCCACACAGTCTGTCACAGGGATCGTTTAACCATACTTCCCCACGCTGGTCAGTGTGGATTTATTCAAGTCTGGTTGTCATCCCCTAACGGGTTCACAGGTCCCACTCGCCCTACCCATACTGGCCGCGGCTTGGAGTCGAACGCAGGTCGCCGGGTTCGTGGCGCCCTGTGGCTGCCCCACCTATGGGACCTTTCTTGCCAGTATCAAAATTACCTTTTAACATGTCAACACCTACAGAGTTTTAATATTTTTCTCGTAATTTTGATTCCGGCAAAAAAGGGACCCATCGATTTAACTGCTCAAGTTTGTAGGGAATAATGGCCATTTTCTATACTTTTTAGGCATAAGCATTTAGGAAATAACACTTACTACCCAGGAACAAAAATTGTGTTACATAGTGTTATTATCAGAGCATGTTTGTTTTGTTTTTGCCACAAGTAATGTGTGGTTAATGTAGACTTGATGCCATGCAGTCTGTATCCATTTGGCGTTTGAACATCTTAACACCTGTTTCATTGCCAGAAAGGGTAAAACCTATTATTTTTTTCATCACTGTGCCACCGCTCCCCACCCGGCCGGACTCTGAGTGCCGTGAGGTTCATCTTTGGCGCGACTCAAGAGGATTCCTACCGTGACGGTTTATGCTCGCGGCCACCTGCACTACGGAATACCAACCGCACAGCAATGTACTCAACCGGGCACACACCACATCCAGTATACCCCACCCGTTTGCCACGGTCGTGGCTACTAAGAGCACTCCGAGCGGGCACGACCCAGCAAACATTTCGGCCCGGAAAACATTTCTGCGACGCAGACGATGCCAATTTTCGGCCAGGAACGGGGGGCGTTTCATCCTCCTCCAGGGATGCCCTCTTGCTTGCTGCTCACGAGCAGGGCTCTCCCTCCTGCCACGGGATGTTGATGCTGTGTCTGCACTTATCTGCTCCGCTTGTGACCACGTGGACTTAAAAGTGTCTTTCTTAAATAAGGTCACAAAGTGACTACAATTTGTTCTTTTTTAAAATCTTCTTTTGAATGTTTTTTTTTAACGTGACATTGTGTAAAGATTTGTAATGTATCGGTTGTAATTTGTTGTGTGTAAATACGTTTACAACTCCCAAAACATTTACACTCGCAATCTGTAACCATACACGGTGCGTCGTCAGGTCACAGGGCCCATTCCACGGACCCGTGATGGAATTCACTCCTCCACATGACAGTGGTTCCTGCTCGCGGGCACACCGGGAACCGGTGCGTGCGAGAATCTGTGATTAAGAGTTGCGCAAGTGAGTTGTGTTTGACATTTCGAGGTCAACGGAACAAACGGAAACGCCGAGACAAAAATGAGAACACGGTGCGACGGTGAAAAAGGTCGCCGATTTAGAAGAAAAAGAAAACTGGCGGTCCAGGCGACTGTGCCGACACCGGAGTAGCCGCACAGGGAGCTCGCTGCGGCTGGACAAATCTGTTATCGTCTCTCTTTCTATCCTCTATTGGTTGTAAATCTACGGTTCAGTTTTTGCACCACATTTACAGAGTATATACACAAATTAAAACAACTGCGGAGACGACGGATGTTTGTTTCGCTGGGTTATTGTAACGACTTGGCAAAAAAAAACCCTCCTTTGACGGTCGGTAACGCTGTGATGGCTGTGAGCGATCCCATTGGGGAGGAGGCCGATCCCAACCAGCAGTGACCCTCACGGCCACCACAGTGGCCAATAGGGGCTCTGGAAGGGTGTGAAGGTGGGGTGGTGACCCCTTCACCTGCAACTCAATTGCTGGACCTCTGTGAAAAAAGGCTTTACAGCTCATTGGATTCCTCCAGTATGAATATTCAGATTCTGAATTGCAATAATACCTCGATTTGTTTTTCCCCCTTTTACGTCGTTTCACAGATACGTGGTCAGTTCATTAATAAGTACCACTACCAGGTATGCGTCGTATTAACCCACGCTCACGTTGCCGATGGTGGGCAGACCCGGGTAAAGCTGCGTGATCCGGGAGTGAACAGCCATTCCCTGTTCACCTTCGGTACAAACAGAGATGTCCTCTGACTCCTACATTATTGAACATCTTTTTTTGACCGCGCAGTTCCAGAAGCCTTCCATGGGTGTACCAGAGGTATTTCCATCTGGTACCAATACAGTGGGAGGGCTGATCGATGCCTGGGGTGAATCGAAAGCGTGCCATGAAGAGGTGGGGAGCAGGGGGCTACCATCAGCCCTACCAAAAATGAAACACCTTCCCCTAAATATTTTACGTAATAGAAAAAAACTCCACCCCCTCAACTCGCCACAAGCGATGGGGGCAGTCGTGGAGAGAGCGGAGAAGTTTCCATGGCTGGGGGCAGTGTGCTTACGAGCAGCTCGAAGTGCAGCGAGTCGGCAAGAGAGGGGGGGGGTATCCCCCCCCCACCGCGGCTGGTGCTGGACTACCAGGAGAGACACCTCCAGGCGGACCAGAGCCAGATGAAGGTTCTTGTCGGCCCGAGGCATTTCTGCTTCGTCGGCCTTCAGTGATAAACTTTATACAGTTGGTACTGCCGCTCTTAATCCGCTTGTTTCTGACGCGGTACTTTGTCCAGCCACTGGACGTCATCACTGCTATGTTCCTTATTTAGTCTGTGCCCTAATTAGATGGGAGCGCGCTGTGACCCGCAGACAAGGATATTTAATTTAAAATTATTGAAAAAAAGAAAGCCTAAACATTTAAGCGAAAATGTCAACTTTTTTTACTATAATTGGATGACAGCTTTAAAAGGATGGCGTTCATTTTCACTGATTACATTCAACAACAAAAAACACGGGCAAAATTAGCTTTCGTAGGCCCCTTTAGTTTCCGTAGGCCCAAGGCAGTACCGGGGCTTATTGGATAATACGGCCCTGGGGTAGCCACAAACGCAAGCGCGTCCACCGCTGGGATGGCGTCAACACGGGCGACGTGGGCAGAAGCTAGGATGTAAGTCACCCATCCCGACTGGACGTCTGTGGAAAAAAAGCTCCATCGCTCATGGGATTCCGTCCGGTATCAATGAACATTCCGATTCTTAAGCTGCACGTGGTGCCGTCGCCGTCACCATATCAACCCGGGGCACGGCCGTTCGCAGCCACCGGAGGGTTGGGGCCCCTCCCCAAATATTGGCGGCAAATTATGAGTCGCAGATGCATTCAGTGACGGTGCAGCACTCCAGCAACAGTGTTAAATCGTACGAACGCACTTCTTTATTGTCGATATTCTGCAAAAGCAGTTACTTAAATACGCAACGCAAAACGTCAGCGACTTCCCGCTACTCAAACGAGCACCGGTGCTCACCTGCTTATTGCCCTGTAGAGCCAGTGACGTTGGAAATTCCACACTCCTATAGCAGGGGCTATGTTGATCCAGAGGACACATACACTTAACTTCGCCACATTGTGCTACTCATTTTGATGACCCCAGAGGGATGATGATGGGCTGCGTCAGACCCCCAACCAGGAGTCGAACCCGCAGCCTTTCCGCTGACGAGCGGCTCGCTTGACCGCTGAGCTTCCACCGGGGCAGGATGAAATGCAGGGTGAAATCTTAGTAAGGAAATCGGGGGATTATTAAATCACTAAAATAAGGTGCAAACAAAGACTAAAACACAATATTTTTTAATCCAAATGATAATTTCTCCAAACGTTCTTAATTAAAAGCACCCCTTCGCTCGTCCCAACGCCCGTCTGGCAGGCGTTGGGACGCACCGGCATGGTGGCACCGGCGTTGGTGCCTACTGCACGGCGCAGTTCTCCCCCACGTCCTCGGCGTAGCGCTCCGACAGCACGGCTCGCGCTTCGTCCAGTTCGCACCGCAGCTGCCGCACGCCGTCCAGCGTGGACGCGAGCGGCATGGGCGGGGAGCTCGCCGAGCGACGGTTGGCGCCACCGTCACCGCCAGCGTCCCTCTCATCGTGCGCGAGGCCTGGGAGGGGAGGGTGAGAGAACACGCACGTCCCGTGAAGAGGAGCCGCCAATCGCAAACCACGATGGCCACATGTAACGAGGTCCCCCAGTTCCAGGACCGACGACAAACTGGGGGCGCTGCCACAGTGGAGGAACGGGAGTTCCAAGCCCACCGTGCTGCTAGCCAGCAGCACACCGGGCTTGCAACTCAGAGGTCACCGGTTCGATCCCATCTCCCGGCGTGGCAGCCGAGACAACGGTGCCAAGTTTCTTAAATCTCCCCCCCCTCCGCCTCCAACTCCCCCTCACTGCCGCCTCTGTCCACCCAGCGGTGTACACGGGTTCATCGCTGTTAGCCGATCCGCAGGTCGCATCTCGGTGGGCTAAAGTGTGGGTATACTCCCTCCTCTTCTGAGACGTCCGGCCCAGCGTGCAACAGCAGGCCCGGCTAACTACCTCCAGCTAAACGCCGCCTCAACTGAAGTCCTCCCATATCGCCACAACCGTCTACATTTGGCGAAATCGCCGGTTTTAGTGTTCACCGCCGCAGACGTCACACGCCGGCACGGAGCAACCGCCACCTCGAAGCGGCCACTGGTGCAGAGCTCCCGTGCTCTCTGCAAGCGTCTTGACTCCGCAGGTCCTGGGTACATAAAGACCCCTCCTCCCCACTCCCCTGTAGCCGTAACAGACTGTTGGGGCAAGTGTTGTTAGCGAGCACCTGTTAAGGCCGGCACAGGACACGAGGGGGTGGGTGGCCAGCACCATGCCCGGCCGCTTTTGTCTCCCCAGTGGCGATGTTTTTTACAAAGTGCACCAGGTACTCATTTGAGGCTGAGTCGATCTAGGGTGGGCCCAGGACTGGTTCAGATAATCGTCAACGGTGTTGGCTGTGAGCAGGAATCGAACTCGGGTCGCCGGCTTTGTAGCGCAGCTAACCACTACCGCTCCCCTACACTGCTGCTCCCGGGTACAAAGACAGACAAAGACAAAGATCCCCCGTATAGCCTTAACAGGTTGTAGCAGCAAGTGCTTTTAGCAAGCACCTATGAAGGCCGACCAATGCACGCGAAGGGGGGTGGATGGCCAGCACCAACAAAAAAAGACAAAGATCCTCCATATAGCCTGAACAGACTAAAGGAGCAAGTGCTCTTAGCGAGCAACCGATGAAGGCCAGCACGGCACACAAGGGGGTGGGGGGTGACCAGCCACCTACCACACACACAGACACACGGACGGGCCCCCCGCCGCTGCGTACGCTCCCCTCCGGGCACTCACTCTGAATCCCGAGCAGCAGCGACAGGTTTGGATCGTGCCCGTGGACTCGCTGGCACACCACCCGGCACAGCGACCGCAGCTCGCCAAAGCAGTGGCTCAGCTGCACTTGGAGTTCGCTGCCGACTTGGCTCAGCCGATCGTGATCGCGCGACGCATCCATCGTCTCCTGCAGCTCTTCCTTCAGGCTTAAGTGCCCGTCCAGCAGCTTCTGGTTTTGAGCCGCGAGCTGGCAACGCACACGCGTGTGGTGACGACGACGACGACGACAACACAACACCACCAACAATAACTACGACAAAAGCTTCTGGTTTTGAGCCGCGAGCTGACAACACACACGCGTGAGATGATGACAACAACGACAACACAAACAACACCACCAACAATAACTACGACAAAAGCTTCTGGTTTTGAGCCGCGAGCTGACAACACACACGCGTGAGATGATGACAACAACGACAACACAAACAACACCACCAACAATAACTACGACAAAAGCTTCTGGTTTTGAGCCGCGAGCTGGCAACGCACACGCGTGAGATGACGACAACGACGACGACAACACAAACAACACCACCAACAATAACTATGACAAAAGCACGTGGGTTTTCACAGCCAAGACTACGATTCGCTGTTGAGTCCTTTGGGGGTTAGGCCAAACATGAGGAAGTCATAACGGGAATCCTGGAGAAGCTGTCCTGACGATGCCCGGGCAGAGTGGCAAGTGAAACGTCTTGTATCTAAACGAGTGGTTCTTCTTAACCTTTACTGCAGCCTGCACCCCCTTTGGTTCTCAACAGGAAGAAAAATGTATAATGTCAATACATAGGTTCGATGAAACAAAGTACAGTAAAACCTTGGATTGCGAGTAACTTGGTCTGCGAGTGTTTTGCAAGACGAGCAAATTTTTTGTAAATAAATATTAATTTGATAAACGAGCGAGGTCTTGCAATACGAGTAGTATGTATACGCTTTGTCTGCCGAGCGTCACGTGATCACAACTGATATACGAGTGCTTTGATATACGAGTGCTTTGGATTACAAACACGTTTCCGGAACGAATTATGCTCGCAATCCAAGGTTTTACTGTAGTTGAAACTTACGTGCCTGTGCTTAATTTGTGTTTTCGATTATTTACCTTGTCTCGCACCCCTAGAAAGGGCATCTGGCACCACCAGGGGGTGCATGCACCCCAAGTTAAGAACCACCGATCTAAACGGAGCTAAATCTGGCTCGTGAGAACTGCTCTTCAACTCACCAGTGAGGGAGCTGAAGCAATAATAATTAGCGCGTTGTTAAACTCTTTGTACACGCGCGCCCATTTAATTTGTTTGGCAGTGTCGGGTGGTCAAGGGGTCTAAACGACACAAAACTGATCCAGATCATGAACGTGGCCTAATCCAAAATTTCGTTACAAATCAAAAACACGAACATCATGAAGAGGAAAGCAGGCCATGTGTGCTGCCGTCACCGGTCCAAATAAAAAAAAAATCACTTTCAAATTACTCAACGGAGAAACACCAGGTAGCAACATCAGGTAGCAACATCAGGTAGCAACATCGCCTTCCTTCTGGCCGAAGATACCCATCTGTGAAACACAGCGCATTCGTTCGTAGCAGCCCAGCGATATGTGAGTGGAACGAATACCGAATGTACTAAAGACCTAGAATTATTAAGCAACGCATCTCCAAAGGCATCGTCCCTCGGTGGCGGAGAAAGTTGATATTTATTCACTGGAACAGGACTGCCAACTGAGCAGAGAGACACTCCCAGTTGTTTGACTTGCAGCTGGCCTAGGTGAGTTCACTGACCCAGCGTAGCACGGTGGAAATATTTTGAAAGGGATTGAGAGCAAGCGAAGCAATTTGATGCAAAACAACAACAACAACAACACAACGGCAATCACGAGGCCTCCCATCTCGACTACCACTGTGGCTACGTGGCCTGCGGATGCTTCAAGGCGCAGCGGATCGTCACATGCGTGCGACGATGACACCGCTGGCACGATGGCACGATGACACGACACGATGGGCCGACGCCAACGATGACACGACAGCGCGATAGAACAATGGAATGGCGGCACAATGGAAAATGACAAGATGGAAAAAGAGCACGATGGAACGATAGCACGATGGAACGATAGCATAATGGCACAATGGAGAGATGACAGCGGCACGATGCAACGGCGGAACAACGACACGACGGCACGACGACGCGACGGCGAGCTGTAAATTCACGCACCTCCTTGACGGCGCTCTGCAGGGCCTGCAGGCCGCTGTCTCTCTCCCCGAGCGCATCTCTTAGAGCCGCATTCTCCTCCTCCTCGTGCACCACTTGCTCTTCTAAGAGCTAGAGAGCGCGCACACAAGGCCGCAGCAGTGAATAATTATCGGTCGGGCCGACGTGACCCGCCGCACTCATTCGTAGTGGTTCATATCTGGCTTAAATCCGATTGGTTGTTCCTACGTGTTAAACAAGTTGCTCTTGTAAAATTATGGCACCAATTTTAAAAAGCCGGGTCAGGTGAGATGGCTATTCCGACTTTTTGGATTCTATCCTGATGACGCTTGAAGTAAAGTCGTATATTCAAGTGCTAAATGTGGCCATGAGAATCACTATGTAAATCACCGGTCGGGGAGGGTCTTACAAACCACATTTGACCAGATCATTTTAGCCCAAACCCAAAGGGCAATATGAATCGTATTGGCTGCTAAATCATTGCGCGTTAAGTTGACTGTCACTGAGCATCCGCCGATGTCCAACGTTTCGCCCCACGAGCCGGGAGCTTCTTTAGCGATGGCGACCTCAATGCCAACAAGGGAGTTCCAATAAAGTGTGTGTGTGATCCACCAACGCTCACCTCTATAGAGCCTGGCTTTATTTCCATTAGCATTGCGGTTAACACTAGCATTTGCATGCCACTGCAGAACAAAGACAGACCCAAAGATCCCCCATATCACCTGAAAAAGACTGTTGGGGCAAGTGCTGTTTGTGAGCACCTATGAAGGCCGGCACAGCACACGAGGGGGTGGGTGGCCAGCACCACGCCCAGTCAACTTTGTTGTCTCCCCAGTGGCGATGTTTACACACCGCACCCGGTACTCATTTGAGGCTGAGTCGACCTGGGGGAGGCCCAGGACCAGTTCACATAATCGTCACCGGTATTGACCGTGAGCCGGAATCGAACTCGGATCGCTGGGTTTGTAGCGCAGCTCACTAACCTCTCCAGTACAAGCAAAGACAAAGATCCCCCCCATATAGCCTTAACAGAGTGTTGGGGCAAGTGCTGTTAGTGAGCAAACTACAGTACACACACACGCACTCTGAACACACGCACTTGCAGGGTAAAGCCACGAGGTGGAAAACACGCACCCTGATTTTATCTCCATGCTCTTCGGTGAGGGCTTCGAGCTTCTTCTTTAAAATGTTTATGATCTGGCAAACAAAACACGGCGGGTTAGCGCGTAGCAGCATCCACCGCCGCCACGGCAACACAGCTGCATCGCGCCGCAGGTGCCAGCGGCCGCACGCTGCGCACGCACGGCGCCACCGCCAATTCGCTGCCGGATGAGGGCCGTACTCCACCACGGAAGTCGGCGCGGTTTGCCGTTGGCGGGGGATTGTAGAGGCGAGGGCTGTAGGGAGTGCAGCGCTGTCCACAGAGTGTCGCCTCCCAGCAGCGGACACAATATGGGGCCACCCATCCACCCGCTATCCAGGCTCAAAATCCCGCTCAGCTTCCGGCAGAGCTGAGAGTGGTCGGAGGAGGCCAGCCTTGACCAACGTTTTCCATTCTCACTCGCTTACAAACAACCAAGACGATTGCAAACACAGCCGTCACACACGACAATCTCCTGCCAGGGAACGTGGCACTGGCGTTGTACTTTCACCTGAATATCCACACCACGCGTGACGGCACCGACCCTTTTGCGAAAGGGCCAGGTCCAACATCGGAGCCATCAGCTGGTTGCATGCAAATCGGTTGATGCAACTGAACCGCTCGTGTGTGGACGTCTGTCTCTGTAACCGGTTGCGAGCAGTTGCACGCAACCGGTTGCTGCTCGCAGTGGAGACAGACTCTGCTGTCAAGCCTCCATCTGCTCGGCGACGCTTGTGCGTCATCATGTGACACATTCGCGTGCGCTGCGATTGGCCGATTAATTTCCTTGTCGCCCCGCTGGCTCGGACGTGGACAAAGCGCTTGCGGGCGACGATTGAACTGCGCGATTGCGCGGGAGATGCGGTCACGTGACCCAGAATCAGGCCGCAGGCTTCGATCGCGTCCACGACGTGAGAGACGCACGAAGGTGACGTACAAGGGGAACACGAACCTTCTTTAAGTTGCAGTTCTCCTGCCGTAGCTGCGTCACGTCCACCCCAGACGGGGGACTCTTTGACTGCTCGAGTGAGTCCAGCTTGTGCTGAAGGCTGCAGGTTTGCAAAACACACATGTGAAGCGCAAAGCACTCATCGTGTTACTTAAAGAACTGTAACAGCAAACAGACCTTCGTCAATAAACTGCTACGCACCACCCCTCTTCACCAACCCGTACTGACCGGCATGGTGCAGTATCGTCAAATAACCCCCCCCACGAAGCGCACTTCATGGGGAGGCCCTCATCCAGCAGCTGATTAATGAGCTTTGGCGAGGACTATTTTCTGCCAAACGAAATCATCATCAGCCATGGTCAATCCACTGCTGGACGGAAGGCCTCTCCCAAGCCGCTGCCAGTACCACCCCTACGCGATACTGTGGCGCAACGGCCCACCCAGGCGCCTGCGGCCGAGCCAACTTCTGACCGTTGTGGCTCTTTCTCTGCTCCTCGGTGGCGGACGGACGAACGTCCTCTCTCTCTCTCTCTCTCCGAGCGGCGCGTACCTTTGCACTGTGGCCATGAGCTCCTCCTCCTTGGTTTTTCGGTCCAGGATTTCGCGATCCCTGTCGCGCAGCCTTCCCTCCAGGGCCTCCACCCTGTGTTGCAAACTCGACCTCAACGTTTCCAGCTCCGTCATCTGTTTGGCGATGAAAACGAACGCGACGCCGAGGGGGGCACGTTCAAAACGTCGGCGACGCAAGCCGAGCGGGCGGCTTTTGCGTAACTGCCGCCGACGCGTGGCTACGCACGGTGACCCCCCTCCTCTCTCTCCCTCTCTCTCTCCAGGCACAGGCGCAGCCTACGCAGGCGCTATCACACGCAGATGCTAGCTCACGCCACTGCTGGCAGAAATTTCTCCCTCCAGAGGGTATTTTTGCCGACTCTTCCACGCTTGGAAGAGGTGGGGAGTTACCCGCACTTCACCCCCACCGTACGACACCTCCGATGAGCGTGGTTGAAAACCCTTCTGCCGTTTGCCCCTAGAGAGGAGTTTTAAGTAGCAGGGTGGAGGCGGCGAAGAGGAATCAACTCGCCGACCAAGGGGCCCTGGGTTCGATTCCAAAGTTCGAGTGCCTTTCCAGGTGTCGTTTCCATGTTCTCCCCCTGTTCTGAATGGGCTTCCTCCGGGTTCTGGAATTTCCTGTTATAGCTTGCTAAAAATATATATAAATATATACAAACCCGTACAATGTAACTGGTATGGCCGAGACATCCCAATGCTGAAAAGTAAACCTACAAATGGCTCAATTGGTATCACACAGGGCACGAACATATCCCCCTACTGCTGCGAAGACTTGGCCGAAATAGTCTTGCGAGGTTTCCATGGGTAAACGAGCAAATAAGCGACGATAGCTCTGATCGTTTTAAACATCCCTAATTGTCCAGCTGACCTGCTGAAGGTTTCGCTGGTGATCCTCCATGGTGGGCAACGCCGAGAGGTATCTGTCCATGCTCTGGAGTTTCCGCTCCTTCTCGTCACGCTCCTCCGTGCTCTTCTGGCAGCGCTTCTTCAGGGACTCCATGTGCTTGTCTCTGTTCTTAATCTGTTGGGAGCACATGCACTTGTTCACGCGGGCCAAGCAAGGCCTAAGCTGCACACAGAAAACCAGTGAGGTTTAGCGTTTGCCGCGAAGAGCCCTCCAAGTGAAAAACAGATAAAATTGCATTGTGGGCGCATTTGGGTATCGATTCATAATCGATTGGTTAGGCCACTGCGGTCATCCAGAACAGACCGTACAATGTATAATGATGCAATACCCGATCCACAAATACAAAGGAGACATTAGAGCAGTGGTTCTTAACCTGAGGTGCATGCACTCCCTGGGGGTGCGATATGCCCTTCCTGGAGGTGCGATATGCCCTTCCTGGAGTTGCGAGACATGGCCAGATTTCTTGAGAAGGTAAATCATCAAAACACAAATTAAGCACGGGCACGTAAGTTACAACTACTTTTTTTAACCAAACCCTATGTATTTATTAACATATATTTTTTTTAAGATTGAGAACCAAAGGGGTGCAAGGCTGCAGTACAAGTTAAGAACCACTACACTAAAGGTACACTCAGGCTGCTCCTGCTGACGCGGTTGTCTGTGGCTTGACCAACTGAATGTGAAATTGCAGTCGTTGTCTCTGCATCTACGTCAGCAGCCGTACGACAAGAAGAAGGTGAGGACCACGTAATAATCTGACCACATTCGTGTCGTTAGGAACTGCTTTTGGCCAACACGGTCAAACGAATCAAGCGCCACGTGTACGAGTGTTTAAAACGCGGCAGTTATTATAGCTTAAGCTTCCCTCGCCGGTGAGTTGAATGGAAATTCTCAAAGCCAAATTCAGCCGATCGCATACGGCGTGTCGCTTGAAGCTGCGTCGAGCACCTTCAGGCACGACTAAGTGGGTGCGATGGACACAAAGTGATTGAATGAATTGGAAGGAGAATCCAGGAAGTGAGCATAACCCAAAATAAATCAATCATAGTAACCCTGGCTGCTGAAAACAAAAAAACCCGCCGGGCGTTAACTTTAAACAAAAACCCGACGCCACTAAAATCGCTCTGCAAACGTTTCCTCGGTAAATGCGCGCCACCTTCTCCTCCATCTTCTTGAGCTGCGCCGAGTGATCGTTCTGGACCTTCAGGAGGGAATCTCTGAGGGTCCTGACCTCCAGCTCCGCGGCGCCCAATTTTCTCTTGAGGTCCGCAGTCGCTTCGTCGCCCTACGAAGAGCAACGAAGGGTATTTCACACAAACTGCGAAGGAGTTTACCCTGTGCCTTTGTTTCCGGCGACAACCCAGCCACCAACCGACACCTCAACAACGTCATCTCGCCGCCGCTCGACTCAATTCCCCAATCCCCCTTTCTGGGATCGTGCTTTTCCAACCCCCCCCCCCCCCCCCCCCCAGAATCTCGCCCAGCTCCGGAAGAACGCTGGAGAACAGTGGAACGCGGGAGTCCGGAATCAACGCCTCGTTCGACACACAAACATCGTTTAACCTCCTGGCTTTGACGTTCCTCCTCGAAGGCACTGGTGGAATCCACAACCGCATCGGAAAATGTACAAACCGGTGTGCACACCTCCTTAACGAATGGAAAATTCAAGACAAGCCAATAGCAGTGCGCTTGTGGCCATGCAACCCAAGCTGTGGACCATACACGAAACCCACTGGAGTCTGCGCTTGTTCAACGGAGGAGCAAACCTACAGGAACTCTCTCCTGAAGCCATCTCGTGGCCAGTAGGCTTCGACTTTTGTCATTAAGCTCCCGAACACGCTGATGCTGCTGCTGCTACTATCGCCATGGCAAAGAGTAGCACTCGGTTCTACTTTTCACAATTACTGTAGTATGCATGCTTGTGAGCATGCACCCTCAGATAAACACCGTTTCAACATGCACAGACTGTTCATCACGAGGGCCAACATTCACTCACATTTTCCGTGTCATAAACTGGTGCAGTTTTATTTCTATCCCGATTGTCCGATAGCGGCATCGCTAGACCAAGAACCCGTTCGGATCTGTCACGCAGCGGTGCGTGTCACTTCATGTTAAGAGAACGGCCCACGGAAGCGGACATCACAGAGCTACCTCTGAGATCCCTCCTTCAAGTGACCTCTATTCCACACACTATAACGGGCAGCACTTTCCCACCAGCTCTGCCATATGAGAGTAATGCTCGTCACATGACACCCGAACGAATACTGTACAGTATTTTAATTCTCAGAGATGGAATTTAGCCAAATAAGTACAGAACACCTCCGATTAGCACCTTTGCTTAGCACGGTTGGCTATGGACGGTGCGAAATAAATTCAACATACATATGTACAACAAAAGGTAATGACTCCGGTTATCACAGTTGACTACGTATGGTGCAAAAGAAGTTCAACATATATATACGTAAAACAAAATGTAATGAAAGTTTGTATCTTTTGAACAGTCATTGGTGACCAGATTGAGACCATCAACTCGCGACGCTTGAGAACCCGGGTTGACCACAGGCAGCGGCTGAACCCCTGAATGAAACCGAGGGTCTCAGCTGTGCCGCCTCAACGCTCTGACCTCTGAGCCACCGGGCCTCCTCTGCGCTTTTGGATTCTGAAATTCACGTAATTCTGCCCCCAGTAAAACTCATCACCGACAGGAACCAACAACGTAAGGGCTGCGGGAAGGCGATCACACAACCACGGTTACTCTCACCTTCGGGTACATCAACAGCTGATGACCGGCACTCTGAAGCGGATGACTTTGCCACATCTCCAAGTCACACGACCGGCTGCCGCTACCCGCCGCCCTCGCTTTCGGCTCGTAGTGTGAAAAGGGCGGCACGTTGGTCGCCCTGCTGGCATGCGAGGTGAAGCCGGCGCTCCCGGGGTATGCCGGCACGTTCTCACGGTTCTCTACGCTCGTGCCGTAGGCGTTCGGGAAGACCAGGCGATTCGTGCCATGCGGGTGCAAGCCGAATGGAAAACCGGCAATGACCTGCTGGCCGCCGGGAAAACCGCACGTCATCCTGGCGGCGCCGTTGGATATCGCTCTCAGGGGTTCGGCGTTGTAGCCGGTGACATAGCCCCGAGCATCGTACGGAGCTTGAGCAGCTTTGTAATTTATATCGGCGGAGCGCATAACGGCCAGGTAATCGGCTGCGTCGGCATTGGCCGACTTGGGGACGCGATGCAGGCCAGGAATATTATCGGCGACGTTTGAGCCATGGGGCAAAGCCACGTAGGTGACATCTTCACCCGGGCCGGCCGTGTCAACGTGATGGTTGGCGGTGCTCGAGAGGCAGCCGCCGATGTCGTTGTCCTTCATGCCGCGGAGGATGTTGGTCTGGTTGAGCGTCGGCTCGATCCCAGGGTAGTCGAACGTCTTCGTGTCGTCGAGAGGAAAAGACGTCCCGAGTTTGGCGAACGTGGGCGGGCAGGCGGAGGCGTTGCGATGCGGCGGTGGCGGCTCAGCATTCGCATCCTGCTCGCGCTCTCGCCTCACGAGGGTCGAGTCGGACACCGTGGGATGATCGCCGCGCATAGCCAGCTCCATGCTCGCGGCGACGACGCGCCACTCTCAGCAGGGACGGGGAGAACACGGCACGCGCGAGGGTCACCCAAATGCCTGCGAGAAACAACAACATGCATTTGCGTTAAGACTGCAGCTGCAACATTCGGAATCAGAATATTTATTTGCACTGGAGGAGGAATCCGCTTGGGCTATGAAGCTCTTTTTACACAGATGTCCCAGTAGGGGGCGGGTCAGAATGTTACAACGAATAAACAGCAAAAACACGACAGGGGTGCAAAGTGTAGGAAAGGTGAACAAATAACTTTAAAAAATATACAAATAAAATTAAACCATTTTGGTATCTTACCAGGTAAAGCCCACTGAGCTAAGAGCTTATTTTTCAGAAGCAATCTGGTCACAAGTGATAGCTCAACGGAGGCGGTAATCACGTGGAAATGTATAGCTAAATAATCTCAATGCAAGCTTCTAAATGTACACAGTGTGCTGGGAGATGTTGGTGACTCACACAATCTGCGTGCAGAATTTTAAGACTTTTTGATGGGAGTCGGGAGGATTAAGTGGAGTGATTATTCAATACGGGCAACACAAAAAGTGTGGATTTTTTCATCTATTTGCTTGTGTTTCTCTCCTTGTAATGAGACTCTGTAGGATGAACGTTGAGATTTATAAGAACACGAGGTAACCAATAAGGTCTAAATTAGTCTGTAATAAGATAGGGCACTGCTGATAAGGGGTTAACAGCTATTGAAACGCAATGAAGAAAGGATGAAGCAGCCTTTTCTTCAATGTGCCATGAAGAAGGGCCGTTGCTCGAAACGTCGCCAGTTCTACGATTCGCCTTTTAATGCCGGTGTTATTGACAAATGTGTTCCGAGTGGTGTTGTTAACCGATGTCAGCTGTGCGCCAATGCACCTGCAGTAGCTCATTTGCCCGAAACGTCGCCTATTACAGTACATGGACCCTGCTGAAGGTCCCGGCACCATGCTGTTGACGCGTGTGTTGGGAGGTGGCTGTTGTTGTAGCTGTTGTTGCTGTTGTTGTAGCTGTTGTTGTACCTGTTGTAGCTGTTGTTGTAGCTGCTGTTGTACCTGTTGTAGCTGTTGTTGTACCTGTTGTAGCTGTTGTTGTACCTGTTGTAGCTGTTGTTGTAGCTGCTGTTGTACCTGTTGTAGCTGTTGTTGTACCTGTTGTAGCTGTTGCTGTCGTAGCTGTTGTTGTTGTTGTAGCTGTTGTTGTACCTGTTGTAGCTGTTGTTGTACCTGTTGTAGCTGTTGTTGTATCTGTTGTAGCTGTTGTTGCTGCTGTTGTTGTTGTAGCTGTTGTACCTGTTGTAGCTGTTGCTGCTGTTGTTGTTGTACCTGTTGTTGTACCTGTTGTAGCTGTTGTTGTACCTGTTGCTGCAGCTTTTGTTGTTATAGCTGTTGTTGTACCTGTAGCTGTTGTTGCAGCTGTTGTTGTAGCTGTTGTTGTACCTGTTGCTGTTGTAGCTGTTATAGCTGTTGTTGTAGCTTTTGTTGTACCTGTTGTAGCTGTTGTTGTACCTGTTGCTGCAGCTTTTGTTGTTGTACCTGTTGCTGTTGTAGCTGTTATAGCTGTTGTTGTTGTTGTTGCTGCTGTTGTTGTACCTGTACCTGTTGTTGTACCTGTTGTTGTTGCTGCTGCTGCTGTTGTACCTGTACCTGTTGTTGTTGTTGTACCTGTTGTTGTTGCTGCTGCTGCTTGTAGACACCGCGCACGGGGGGAGCGAAGCCGCGCAGGGAGCGCGCGGGGCGAGCGACACGGAGCCAGCCCTCACCGACTTCACCCTCGCCCCGTGTGTTTGTGTTAACTCTCCCCGTGTGTGTTAACTCTCCCCTTGTCAACTCTCACCCTCCATGTGTGTGTTAACTCTCACCCTCCGTGTTGGACTCTCACCCTCCGTGTTTGACTCTCTCCCCGTGTGTGTTAACTCTCTCCGTGTGTCTCTCCCCGTGTGTTTGACTCTCCCCTCGTCAACTCTCACCCTCCGTGTTTAACTCTCCCCGTGTGTGTGTTTGACTCTCCCCGTGTCTCTCCCCTTGTCAACTCTCACCCTCCGTGTTTAACTCTCCCCGTGTGTGTGTTTGACCCTCCCCTTGTCAACTCTCACCCTCCGTGTTTAACTCTCCCCGTGTCTCTAACTCTCGCCCTCCGTGTTTAACTCTGGCGCTCAACGGTCGCGGGAAAGGCGGCACGTGACAGGAAGTTCCGGGCACGTTTGGAGCACGTGACCGGATCTCGCCAATCGCGGGGTATCCCTACGCCATGCAGCGGGGGTCGAGCGTGCGGTGACGCCATCTTGCCTGGGGGTTAAGGGTCACGTGGAACGCGTGTCACGTGGCCTTAATACATCACGTGGACGTTAAATTCACTCATTCGGCCAGTGCAAACGTAACGACTGAAACGTGTTACAGTATTTATAATTGCAACCGGCAAGTTTGCAAAATAAAGCCCCGTTTGCAGCCGAATCTCGGAACGCGTGTTTAGCGTTAATTTTATTAAACGCCGCTGTTTTTAAAAGGGCATCATACTCACTGCAGGCAACTGGAGCGACACAACCGCACTCTATGGCAGCTGGGCGCCAAACTGTGCCACTCGCCCAATTTAAAGGAAAAACCGATGAAGTATGTCGTCAGAATGGGAAAGGGCTAAAAGTAGAGGTGACACGTGGACCACTTATTACAGTTTCGCAGCTCGGTTCTGGTGGGCCGCCCTGGTTAACACTGCGATGCGCATTTACCATACTACAACACGCAGTCCGCTTCGCTCAGTGGACGTCAAAGATTCAGTGACGTGTTTTTAAAACCGTCGAGTTGGCAGCACCGTTCCTGTTAAACCCAGGCACACACCTCGAGAGGACCATCTGCACCCAGCCTCTTCGCCGTGCCTCTCTCCATCGCAGGCGTTGAATCACTGCTGCCGCGCGTTCATCTGGGCATGATGCGCACGTGTCGGAGGCCCAGAACAGATTCTGATTCAGTTGAAGTGCGCAGGCTTTCGTATGCCATCACATTCGTTGCCGCTCGATTCTTCCAACAGGTTTAATTTTCGACAATATCTTTCAATCTTATTTAGTACACCGTAGCTTAAATCATAAGGTTCGTGTTAAAGGGACCCCTTCAAGGATAAGAATGGAGTGGCGGGCCAAGGAAAGGAAAGTGTCCTAGAGGACATCCGCCAATGAGATGGAGCGATTAAATGAGTGCGTATTCAGGGAGCGAGATGGATCATTGCAGCGCAAGATTGTTAGATGGCAGCTGCTTGGGGAAGCCTTTATCCAGCAGTGGATTGATCACAGCCCCGGGCACACATTTTCCCATTTTAATTCCAATTTTATTAAACATTTGACGCACAAGAAAGTAGAAAATACTCGACCCATGACAGCTAATAAAATCCTTATTCGATACCCAACAGAAAGTTTTAATTCAATTTAACAATAACATTCATTGTCCTCTCTCGCGCTCTCCCGCTCTCCCCCCTTGCCAAATACGCTTAGAAAACATACAAAACAAGGTGCAGGCCCTTGGTCCAAAACATCAACAAAGGTTCTACAAAAAGCTTTAAAAATGAGCATCGATATGCATTGCTTAAAGGGCGACGACAACGACAGCTCAACACACCTCTTCTACACCAGTGATCGCTAGCGAGTAAGTCGCATTTTAAAACGTGCCGGACATTCCGCTTGTGCCGGTTTGCTTTCGGATTGCACCGCGGGCGGCTTGCGTGCCGTTCGGTCGGATGTCCCGAAGTTTTCCGCATTCCAGTTCCTGAAGAAGCTCCCAAGCTCACGGGAGCGAAACGTCGGATGTCGTGCCGAATGGCACGCGGCACAACGCGAAAACGCAGCGCGGAGCGAAAGACATTACAAACATAATTTCCTGGTGGTATCCAGAAAAAGCATTTTCGTGCAAATATCTTTCCAGCATCATTTTAAACGAGATGCGTACAGACCTGATTATACCCATCTTGGTGTGCATTAGGATCAACTTCATAACCAAAACACTAAGTCCCTTGTACCAAATAAGCTAAATATTTTATTGCAATTATACCACAAATGAGAAAGGTTTGTCTGTGAAAATTCAATCAATAAAAAAAATCAACAGTTTATATAGCAGTATAGGCCACAATCAACATTGAAAACGAAACGACTTGATATTCATTAATTACCGTTCCGTGCGAAAACTCACTGGACGTGCCAGGAGGATAGAGCGACGCCTCTAGTGGTGTTCGTTAAGAAGGCACGAGGGGGGAAGCGCCCAGCGGCTGGGGTTATTCGCACCCTGCGCTCTACTGGACATTGTGAAAAAGAGCTTTATAGCTCATCGGATTCCTCCAGTATGTAGACTCTGATTCTGTTACCATTGGGGGCTGTGCACGGGTGGGGGGGGGGGAACCTCAAGCTCGTTCAGAACAACACGCGCGTTTTAAAGCAGGGTTTCTCAAATTCCAATCTTCCAAGCTTAACCAATTCACCCAAAATAAAGTGCACAATAGAACCAAATGGAATGATGCGATGGGTTGCTTTTTGGTTCAGTAACTGGTGACCGGTGGGGGGTTTCCACGTGAACCGGAAGGGCGGTCCCTGCTTTAGAGGGGGAGAGCGCGCCACGGTGCGATGCCGGTCGAGTGGCTGACGAGAGACACCGCCACCCGCCACCACCAGCGACACGCTCAGGAAGCGATGTTGGGGATCAGGTACTCGGTGTCGTCCTGCTTGGGGTTGTTGGGCCGCACCACCGTGAACACCTCGGGGAGGTGGGTCTGCCGCTGGCGGAGGCGTTGCATCCACAGGAACAGCAGCACGAGCACCACGAGCGAGGCCAGCACAGCGACCAGCACGCCCAGCACTGTCGTGGGGAAGCACCAGGAGACCGCACAAGTGCCAGGAGTCAACACATACGCAACGGTGAAAGCGGACGCGTACGGCGCGTTAGTTTCGTACTCCCGATAGTGCAGGGCGATCGTCACGCGGTGAAGTGGGAAAAAAAATAATGCTGTGGTTTTCCCACCTGATGATGATTGCGTGTGTTGCAATCAAAACATCGTGATTTATTTTTATTTCATTTTATTCACCGCCCCACCCCCCCCCCCCCTAAACATCAAGCAACGAAACTCGAGTAAAGGGGAGACGCTGCCACAGTGGGGACCGATGGCCTCGCTACGCTAGACTCGCAATGCAGAGGCCGTGCCGGTTTGAAGTTTATTAAATTCCCGTGCCGAGATCTGCCCAACCCGGCAGTGTTAACGGATGCAACCAGCACAGGCAGGCGAGCGGCAGGCCGCGTGCGGTGGGGGTGGTAGCGCAAGTCACTAGCGGCCAAGCCTGTGGCCACCACCCCGCGGCATCCGAGAACGCGGTTTCACCGCGAGCGGCTGCCGGGAGTCGAGCGCAGAGCCTCGGCGCTGTCGGCTCGGCGCCCGGCACCCCATGGGTGAACCGAGAGGGGGCTCGTCGGACTCGAACTACACGCAGGAAACGTTCTGCTGGACGACGCGAGAGAGGACCGGAGGAGCTCTTGACCTCACCGTGCACGAACAAGTCGTTATGACGTTCCTCGTGGGGCTGGTTTTCTGAAAAACACGACACGGGACAATTCTCAAAATCAAACCGACACACACACCACAACACGCGCCCCGCCCCCCCCCCCCTGCCATCACCGCCGACCGTAACATTACCTGCTCACGGTCACATCAGGTCAATAGCACGACTTCTGGAGGGGGGCTGTCGGAGCTCCTCTACCGTGCTCCACAGCCTCCAGGTGGAGTCAATGGGCGGCTGCCATCGGCCGGGTTCATGTTGTGGGGCAGCAGAGTGCCATACTTCATCTATTTAATTTATTTATTTTACCAGGTAAGGTCCACTGAACTACAAAGCTATTTTTCAGTTTAAGAAGCGACCAGGCCACAAATGATAGCTCAACAAAGTGGATTATCGTCCTCGTGTGGAAATTGATAACAGCTAAATACCCTAAAGGCGTGGATGCCGATTCTTAACGTGGAGGGGAAAAACCGGAGGATACAGAGAAAAATCCACACGACCATGGGGAAATAAACACGCAAACTCTAAATATATAGCAGGCGTAATGGTTGGGATTGAACCCAAGACCTCTTGTATAGCAGGCGAGGGAGATAACATCTCCCTTAGCCACCGTGGTAGCCCACTCAGTGCCTTCAACAAACCAGTGGGGTGGGAGGGGACAAACACCCTTGACGACCCGCACAGCCGCCGGGGAGGGCCCTTATCCAGCGGTGAACTCACGGAAGCCCGTGCGGTTATTCTTGTTTCTCCCGCTTGCTCTCCCAGAAAAGCGTCACAGGATCTCGAGACTCTCTTTTTGCCTACCAAGTTGTGCGCAGTAGAGGTCGCCATTGCCATGTGTATGTGTGTGTCATCCCGTTTTTGTATTATTTTGTTGTTGTTGACCCGCCAGCTCTCAGTGCTGTGGGTCAGCTCGAGAGAGAGGGGACCCCCCCGGTGGTGCTGGGCTGACCTCCACGAGACGCCTCCAAGGCGGCGAGCCGGGCGGACCAGGGCCTGATTCAGGTTTTTGCAGGCCCTAGGCATTTATTCCGTAGGCCTTCAGTGATAACTTTGTATAGTTGCTACTGCTGCCCCATGGTACTACCGCCACCGTCACTCTGCTTGTTGCTGACGCGGGACTTCGTCCAGCTGCTGGACAGATGCTGTGACTGATACATTCATTATACTGGTAGGAACCTCCTCGTTACACCAGCCCACAGGGGATTATTGTGTCTGTCCGTCCGTCGTGCATCCAAAAATGGGAGGGGTGGGGCTGGGTGGAGAGGGGAGGGTGGGGAGGGGCTGGGTGGAGAGGGGAGGGACTGGGTGGGGAGGGGCTGGGTGGAGAGGGGAGGGTGGAGAGGGGCTGGGTGGGGAGGGGCTGGGTGGAGAGGGGAGGGTGGGGAGGGGCTGGGTGGGGCTGGGTGGGGCTGGGTGGGGAGGGGCTGGTCACCCCGTGGTGCCCTTATGAAACTCAACGTTTAACCTACTCACGCCGGCTTGTGCCCGCCCTCACAGTCGGGCATATTTGCGGAATACACCACGTCACCGTTGACCCTGGCCATTGACCGAGCAACCCAACGTTCCTACCACCTCCCTCCGCAGGAATGTGTTAGTCTGTGCCCTAATTCGATGGGGAGCATGCTGTGTGCTGCAGATAGTCAGATTTAATTTGAAATGATAAAAAAACAAGGTAAGCCAAAAAATATTATAAGCAAAAATGTCTTCAACTTTTTCTTACTATTATATCGGATGAAGGCAGCTTTAAAAAGATAAAATTCATTTTCATCGATAACATTCAACAAAAATAACATTGTCAAAATGAGTTTTCGTAGGCACCTTTAGTTTTCGTAGGACTGAGGCACAGTGCCTACTGTGGCCTTTTGGATAATACGGCCCTGGGGCGGCCACAAACGCAAGCGCTTCGACAGCTGGGATGGCGCCAACACGGGCGACGTAGGCAGAGGGTAGGATGTTAGTTACCCGCCCCGACTGGGTTACACCGCCATTTTTTTCTATTTAGCTCTGGAGAGGAAAGCCTGGAGAGCCTCGGATGGAACACATGCAGACAGAACAGTGGGGGAGAAAACTCCTCACAGAGAGGCGCCCAAATCGGGAATCGAACTTTGGCTCTTCTTGCCGCGAGAGTCACCGCTGTACTGCCGCCACCAACCACCAACCACCGTCGCTCTACGTATGGGCACGGATGCAGGGACCGGTTACCTCCAGCGGGTGCGGAGCAGACGGCCGCGCAATCCTGCTGGCTCTCGAAGTTGTTGCCGTTGGCATGGCAGCCGCCGTAGATGAACTCCTTGCAGGTGGCGTCGTCCGGACTGTAGAACCACCGTCGCAGCGAGGCGCGGCACGGGCCCTCGAACGGCGGAGCGGTGCACACGCCTGCTCACACCGCACGACACCCACCCACGGCACCCACGCACGCACGCACCAGAGCAACGAAGGAGTTCACTCCCACGAATGAGACTCTTATCCTGCCCTCACCTGGTTCTCACCTCGTTACACAAATAACACTCGAGCTTGAACTGAACGGGACCCGTCAGGCGTGTCGTCGCCCAAGTCTTTGACTTTTGCATCGGCAAAAAAGACAAACCTCTTCGTTCTTGGGAGTCTCTCGTGCCCGAGTACGATGGTCACTCCAGCATGGCACAGGGCCTCCAGGATTGACGGCGGACGCCGAGTTGGAGAATCAGGCTCTCCAGTCCCAGTGGAGACGCGCCGTAGATTACGAGTCTAGCACTGGAGATTGGTGCTGCTACTGCTGCAGTAGTTGCCGTCTGCCGCCGTACACTACCCGAGCCCGATCCGTCGACGCAAGTGGGAAACGGCAGCAGCTGCGCCCCGCTATGATTCTGCTCGCAGTTTTGTATCGCCAAGCCTACTTGCATAAAACGCGAATGACGGAAACGTAAAGAGAAAAAGAAGTGAAGGCTGCGTCCAGCACCTTGCAGTGGTTGCTCAAACTGAATGGGCATCCTCTGGCTCTTGACGGCACGATCTGCACGCACGCACGGACAGACGCAACGCGCGCGCATTCACACACGGGCAGCAGCAACGGTTACAACACCACGTCTCGGGTCTCGTGGTCCATCGATTTTGCTTTCACAAGGTCAGAACGACAAGATTAAAAACTAAACTATTTTTTATTCCTATTCTTTGGGTCTTTCGGTAAAGTCACGTAGATAGGTTCAAAGAAAATAACAAAAAAAACTACGACGTTTCGATCGCAACACAAGCAGTCGTGTGACTTTACCGAAAGACCCAAAGAATATGAATTCCTGCGGTTACGAAAGCTTTAGGTCAAGATTTAAACTATTTTTTTATTTCACCAGGTAAGGCCCCACTGAGCTACGTAGCTCTTTTATCAGACGTGACCTGGCTATCAACTAAGCGGCTAATCACGTGGAAATTTATAGCAGCCAAATATTCTAAACGCGCGACGCCGATTCTAACTGTGGAGGCGGAAAAGGAGGACCTGGAGAAAAAATAAAAATCACGTGACCATAGGGAGAGAGACGAAAACTCCAAACATACAGCAAGCGTCAGAGTCGGGATTGAATCCACGACCTCCTACATACCAGGCGAGGGAGATAACATTTCGCCCCCGCAGTGCCCTACTCTCGTTTCCAAGAGTGACTGAACTCAAGTCACCAAAATGACAAAAGCGAAAACATGAAAACCCAGTACAACAAATAATCAAACCCAAAATCAGAGCAAAAACAACCATGGTACACATTGATTGAGCACAGTGTAAAATCGGATTCGAACTGTTGTTCTCGTTGCTCAAGAGCTGAAGAGACGTTACCCACTACACTACAACGTCGTAGTGGTAAACAAATTCTGCATTGGCGATGCAGCTACGCTTCGCAGCGGTGCAAAAGTACAACTAAACAAAATGTGTGGGCGTAATAAATGTATGGTGGGGCAATGGCCCTTTCTTCACGTAGCGCGGGAAATCAACTTCAAAACGGGACGTGTTTAGAAAATTCCTTCCAGCTCGTCTCTACAATTGTTGTCGCCCCCCCCACAGATTGCCTGCACGACGGCCCCAAATTATTCACCCCCTTCCACCCACCCACTCCGCCGACTGGTCAACACGAGCCGACAAGGTGAAGCCGCAGGTGCTCGTTTGAATCCCGTGGCCTTTCCGGCCTATGCCGCTAATCCTGCCCGTCGTTCACGTGGGGGTGGGGGCTTCGGCTCGTCACGTTCGAGAAGTCTGCGGTGTGCGGTCGTGACAATTATCGAGCTTTACACCATAAACTAGGCCACGTCACCCGTGACAAAACAGCTGGCCGCGACAAAACAGGTTTTTTTATTTTGACACCGAACCAAAAGTTCGGGGCACGTCCCATAATTCAGAGAACACGGTCCCCACACGCACGCGTGGCCGAGTTGCAAGCTGCCATGGTGAGGGCGCCCCAACTTCACAACCACGATTTCCTCCGGTTCAATTCCGTGCCCCAGCACGGTGGCCCTTACACTAAAGACGCATTACCTAAATTATCAACAGAAGGTGTATATCGGATTAATTGTTTATGTGGCAGATGCTATATTGGACAGACGGGACGTAACATCAGCATAAGACTAAAAGAACATCAAAGAAATATTAAATTATCTCAAACACAACTGCCGGCAGTGGCAGAACATGCTTGTCAACAAGGACACTCAATTGATTTTGATAACGTTGAAGTGTTGTGTAAAACTAATTATTACTGGCAAAGACTAATTAGAGAATCCATTGAAATTGAGAGGAATGGAAATAACTTTAATTGCTCTGACAGCTACAGGCTTAGTGCGGCTTGGAAGCGTATTATTAAATAATACATATTACAATTCCTTATAGGGGAAACATACTAATTAACGGATTATTAACGAAGCATACAATCACAATAACACACATTACAACTAATTACTAATCTACAACTCATTACTAATCATAACCATTGCCATTGACTGATTACCAATCGATTACATAATTACAATACCCCCCCTCCGCCTCAAATCACTGCACCTGAATGAGTTAAATGATGACGTCACCCTGCTGCTCTATTTAAGACCGGGAGCAAGCGAGGGCTTTACCATTCTGGCGAATTGCCCGATGATGCTGGATGTAATTACCAGCTAAACGTCGTACTCAAACTGTAAATGTTGTGGATTCACTCTTCAACACACCGGTGGGCTAAAGTAGTGAACTATTTGTCTTTTGTCAACGTGGCACTTTTTTTGCTGATTGGCCGTGTCGGGTGGTGGAGGGTTACGACACATTTATAAATAACGCGATCTAACCCAAAAACCTTTATGAATAATATTGGTCGCGAAAGCCTACGTGTTAAACTGACAGTGGCCCAAACAACGGTGACAAAGTTTATTTCAATCCACCAGCCCAGCGGCGTATAAACGGGCGTGATCGCGGTTAATCTGATCGGCAAGTCGCATGCAGCGAGTTAAAGTGCGCGTAGTCCCACCTCTTCTGTGTCCGGTCAACGTGGGAAAAGTAGGCCAAAATACCCTTTCAAAATCAGCTTTGGCACAGGCCCTTCCGGCCAGCAGTGGTGCGCGATTGGTGTAAGGCACCGGCAACGAGCCAACGATGCCCGAGGCGCTCAAAACGAGCGTGGAGGAGCGAGCGCAGAGCGAGCGCAGAGCAAGCGCCAAGCGTACCGGTGGAACAGGCCTTCATGCATTCCGCGCTGCTCTCAAAGTTGTTCTTGTTGCCATGGCAGCCTCCGTACGTGAACTCTCGGCACGCCTGGCTCTCCGCATCGTAGAACCACCGCAGGAAGGCGGCCAAGCAAGGGCCCTCGACCATCGGCGCCGTGCACGTGTCGTCTTTGGACAGCGGCCCACACACGCACCGCACCGTCAGAGACGGTGACCCGGGCCATCGTCCGGCGACGGGGGCAATCGCCGCCACCTCCCCTCCCCAAAAAAAAAAAAAACATCCAGCTCCCCTCCAGACCCCGATAATCGGGGCTGGCACTCGGGGAGTTGCTAGTGGGTTCTACACAATCCAAACCTCCCCTTAGTGTCCTGCTCTAGGCCACGTCCACGCTCCCCTTTAGCAGTGAATCATTGTGGTGGGCCCCCCCACCAGTGCTGGATTATCCTAGTAGCAAAAGTAGTTACATATGCTACGGGTTCCGCACTCAAGGGCCCGGTGCGAAATGCCTTCAAGCTATCAATTCCGGTTCAGTGATTCTGCACTTGCTCTATTGCTATAGTACTATACTGCCTTCAACTTTTATGAACGACTGGGTGTTTAAGTTTAGAGATTTGTCGTATTATCTGGCTGTATAGCAAACGAAAACATACAATAACCTTACTATGCAAGTTAAAATGTGTTTTAATATTTGTGTTTTTTATTTTTATTTAGAGCACTTTTATAACATGTTACAGGCCCCGCACTAGCTTAATCAGGTACTGCCCCCCACACGACAGCGGGTATCGTAGAACTACCACCGAGTTTCCTTCAAGTGACCTTCGGTCGACACAGCAGGAGGCAGCGCTTTTCGTATAGGCCCCGCGAACAGACAGCCACGTTTATTGGACAGGCAAATCGATACTTGTTTTCAGTCCTTGAATGAGCGAGATTAAGTACAGAACACCAAGTTGAACGTTGGGAAGACACTGGTGACCAGGCCAAGACCACCGAATCACTTGAGAATGCGGTTTAATCATGGGCGGAGATGAAACCTGGATTCGAACCGACGACCACAGCGGTGCCCGGGTCGTGCTCTACCCCCCCTGCCCCTCCGAGAGCCGCCTGCTAAAGCTTGGTTTAATTTGACGTCCAGCTCTGGCCACAAACGATGCGGTGTTTGTGCACCTTGGCGATGAACAGGTTACGCAGGACTGCCCCTTTTACACGCGTACGAAATGCAAGCATTAAGGGAGGCTTTACATTTTCCGTGAGATGATGGTAATGAACGTGACACGGCTGCCTGTGATCCAGCGCTGTGGAGACGAGCAGCGAGGGTTGGTGGATTTGCTCCGTAAACGTGGCTGAAAAACTCCCTTGTCGCGAGCGTCGAAGAGGCGCCTGCACCCTGGCTCGCCAGGCGAAGGCCGGAAGAGGAAAAGGGTCCGTCCATATGGGGCCAAGCGTTTCCCCCCCGTCGCACGGGTAGGTTTTTCTCGGGGAGCTTCCGTTTCTTCACGCATGTAAAAAAAAAACTCGATTGGTTGAAAACACCTTCATATTTAGGGGGCCACAGAACTTGCCCAATTTCCTGACGCCGATTGATGGCGCGGCTGCCTTTCGGACCTCAGTTGTTTGTTCTCTACGGGAGTGAATACCGTGCGGCACATTATTGCTTTTATTGTTGTTGTTGTTGTCGAGCGTCATTACCTGTTGGACCTTCCATCCTTGCTTCCTGGGTGATGTTATTCTCGCCTGGAAGACAAAAACGATGCAAAATGAAAAACAAATCCTCGCACACGGTACCAAACAAAACAAGGGTTCCTCGTCGCGACAACACGAAACGCCCAGGGGCAATCGTGTGGCCCTGCCTACCATCTTGAAGCAAAGTACAAATACTCCTATAAGTGTTGGCAAACAAATCAGTCTACAGTTATCTGTATAATATTTTTAGCGTAAGAGTGATAGTAATAATACGTTTAACACGTAGACTTTCGCGACCAATATTATTCATAATAAAGGTTTATGGGTTAGATCGCGTTATTTATATGTGTCGTAACCCTCCACCACCCGACACGGCCAAACAGTAAAAAATGTGTCACGTTTACAAAAGACAAATAGTTCACTACGTTAGACCACCGGTGTGTTGAGTGAATCAACATCATTTACAATTTTGAATACGACGTTTCGCTGGTAATTACATTCAGCATCATCAGGCAATTTGCCAGAATGGTGAAGCCTTCCACTTGCTCCCGGTCTTAAATAGAGCTATTACTCAAACCATGAAGAAGGACCCTCTTGAGGAGCCTTTCAAAACCATCACTTTACCCTACATTGCAGGGATCACAAAAAAGATCTCCAAAATCTTGAATAAACACAAGATCCAGGTCCGTTTCAACACATTACATAAAATCCGTGATCTGGTTCCGTCTGTAAAAGATGTGATTCCGGACATACAGTACCCTGGTGTCTACAAACTAAGTTGTCTCTGTGGTAGTAGTTACATTGGAGAAACCAAACGACATGTCTCGGACCGCATTCGTGAACACAAAGCAGACCTTAAACACGGTAGGACCAACACCTCGGCCGTGGCAAATCACTGTTATAATTCAGTAGGCTCACATGACATTAACTTCTCCAAGACAGAGGTTCTTTGCAAGCCATCTGGCTACCATGAGAGATTTGTTCATGAGGCTATCCACATATACAAACAGACAATTTCAACCGAGAAGATGGATTCTGGCTTAGCAATCATTGGAAGGATTTGATAAACCATTTCGGGTCTTAATTGATTGTTCACGCTTACAGTGGCTTTCAGACGGCATACATTAATTTTTCGTCTCCCCCCTCCTCTTTTCCGAACATAGATGGACTCGTCCATATAAACAAATTGTCAAATCGCTATCCGTGGTGCTAACGTTTAAAAACAAATAAATACAAACCGCCACTTATTTCAAATGTTCTTGCCGTTGGTTTTCACACCTGATGATGACTGCTTGTGTTGCAGTCGAAACGTCGCGAGAATTTTATTGTTTTATATACATTTTATTATTTTATTGTTTCCCTTCAACGTTACTTTACCGAAAGAACCAAGAATACTATTCTTATTTTTTTAATCGAATTTTTAAACTTACATTATCATAAGATCCCTGCGCCACCCGTTCCAAGTCTAGGCTCAAGGCCTTCCCGTTGTCCTCTCTGCCTACGACCGAATGCTCCCGTAACCAATAAAACCGTGCCCACTGCTCCCGTCCGTACAGCGCGTTGGCAAGGATGCAGTTGCATTTCGCTGTCGCTATAAAATCCAAATTGCATTGTATCGCACACCCCAATCATCGCCGATGAGCCTCCACCTCCCCGATCATAACTCATCGCTACCCATTTTTCTGCATCGCCGCCGGGATACAACAGCTGCTTCCGACAGTAAAGGACAGTTCCAACGTGATTATACTAATTACACCAGACCACAGCAGCGACGTCGACACTACTCGCCAATTTACATCCTGCAGCGGAACGGGATGGCGGGGAGGGGACGCTACTATAGCGGGGCAGAGACGCGTCTCGCGTGTTCCTCAACGTCAGAGATTTCCCTGCTGCTCAGATGAGCCACATTGAAGCATAGAGTCCTGACCTCTCGTTCACGGCCCTGCACGGCAAATGGTGGAAACAATTTGGGGGGGGGGGAAGGGGAAAGTCTATAGAGAACAATCAATGTTGACTTAATTCAAAAAGTGGTACCCTATTTCAACCAACCCAACCAGGATTTGAACTCCTCACGACCTTCCAATTAATAATGAAAATATATAATGCGCATTCCATCCTAGAATCCCAGTACGCAATGAATAAAAAGCAGGAAACAAAACGTGAACCAGGGGCAACCGACCAAACTGAAGAGGGAAGGATCAGTCAATGAAGTCGCCCACCGATGCTGTTGTGTACAGGCAGAGCTGTTCTGTTATTCCACTAAGGACGGAGGAGGCCTTGCGGGTCCTGGGGGGGGTTCTCATTAGCCAACCCCAACCTCCCCCCCCACTCTGTTTCACACTGTGCCCCCGTGTAAAAACCCCACTGCAAGATTATACCGATTACCCACATCGCTCATCATCATCATCATCCTGCCACGGTCAGTCCACTGCTGGTCGAAGGCCTCCCCAAAGTTGCCACAACCCGTAACACGGTTCGCGACGCAATGACCCGTCCAAGCAAGCAACCCCACGCACGAGCCGCCGACTTCCGTCGACTTCCTCTCTCCCCTCCCCCCCGCCCGGCAGATGTCCTATCAAGCCGATGTTTCGGGCAACAGGCCCTTCTTATTGTTCTCCCCTCCGCCAACGAAAGAGGGGGGGGGGGGGCCGCGTTTCCGAAACGTCACCGATTAACGTGCCGCACGTTTGACCCTCGGGGCCACGGGTGCCGTCGGCGAACGGCGCGCCCCGGTTTTGTTGTCGGGACTTTTTAATAAAAATGACAAAACAAAAATCGCTACGACGAGCGCTCCCCCCCCCCCCCCCCCCCCCAGGAGTGCGCCCACCCCCCCCTCACCCGCGTCGGCGAGGCACCGTTCCTCGCACTCCTGCTGCGTGGAGAACTTGTTGTCGTTCCCTCCGCAGCCACCGTAGTTGAAGGACCTGCACTCGGAGGCGGCCGCGTCGTAGTACCACTTGGGGATCAGCGCCCGGCACAAGCCCACCTCCGGCGGCGCCAGGCACAGCTCGGGAACTGCCAAAGGAGACGAATGCCGCACCCGAACCCATTTAGCTGAGCATAACACGGGGGGGCTCAAACAACGTCCACTCGGATGACAATCGACATGCAGATGTATTAGTGTGATTATTATTTTCGTTGTGTAATCCGGTGCTCTAACCGTGTAAACTTCAATAATAAAAAGGGGAAATTTCGATTTAAAGCTTTCGTGACTGCAATGATTCATCTTCTTTGGTTCTTTCGGTAAAGTCACGTAGAATGAGAATAAAATAATAAATTGATAAAATAAAATAACACAATAATATTCTCACGACGTTTCGGCCACAACACAAGCGGGGTTTTAACCTTTTTTCTGGTAACAAAACTGAAAACGTTTCACAAGGAATCATGTGTGCATTGAGATGAGGCTCAAAAGAAAGCTGTCTCTGGTGTGGACCAATCAGTTTCAAGGACAATGCATACATTAGTGTTTTTTGTTTGCATTTTGACCACAAGCAGTGGTTAACGCACACATGATTCCTTGTAAAAAGGTTTAAGTTTTGTTGCCAGCAAAAAGGGGAAAAACCCTATTATTATATCTTGGTACTGGCAGAGGAGATCTAATGACGTGTAAAAAAAAATCATTCGTATAATATAAGTAAAACAAAAAAGTTGAGAATCTTAAAGTAAACAAAAATTCCATCAATTAAATTCACTTGGCCACCAATAGTATTAATAATGGAGCAGCCACTATGGCAGCGTAGGTCAGCAATGCACTGGACTTGCAACCAAGAGGTCGCAGGTTGAATTCCATCTCCTGGCGCGGCAGGTGAAACGGCGGTTCAAGTTTCTTACTCCCTCCCCACCTCCCACACGCTGCCTCTGTCCACTCAGCAGAATAAAGGGGGTGAATCGCAGTGAGCTAATGGGCAGGTGGCGTGTGGTGGTGGGGTAAAAGTCTGGGTGGGTACTCCCACCTCTATCCAAAACGCGTGGCTCTGCCTGGAAGAGCAGACCAAGACACACTGTCGCTGCTCCCTCTAATGGAGGCCCCCCTTTCGCTAGCATTAGTAGTGAATTAATAATACCACAAAGCAATCGACGGGCCGCAACCCTCTGTCTCGCACGTGCTGTTCCCGCTCTACGCGAACAATGTTTCCCGCATCCAAGTTCGCATTCTCAACCAAACACGATCTTATTTTTCCTCTTTCAAAAAGACTAATTTAACAAAAGTCATTCGGTTTGTTCTGGGTATCATTCAGATTTTCCCACAAATTTTGTCCTTGGCCATTGTAGGCGCCTAACCCCCCCCCCACCCCACCACAACAAACGTTTGAAGGTTCGGAACAAAACGTTCGATTTCTCGACTGGCAGAATATTTATTTCAGATAACAAAAAAGTGTTATTACCCGGGGAGAACGCGCACTCGAGATGGCAGCAGCTTTCCGCTTCACACCGCACAAAACACGGGAATTACCGCCGCCACCGCTTCTTCCTTTGAGGAGTTTCCCAGCATTCATTGGCGCTGGGGTGAGCCTCACCCACCCCCCCCAATAGCTTACATCATACCACTCCTCCGACCAGCAACGGTTGGCTACGTGCGGCGCGAAAGAAGTCCAACATACGTACATTCGTTAATACGCACACCACGAGCGCGGGAATTAACCGTCACACGATGGATGTATCGTTTGGCGCATTTGGTTTCAACGCTATCATTTGTAGGGCGCGAGGCTGTGGTCGCGAAGGCAGAGGAACTAGCACCGGCACAGGGACTCGTCTAAACGAGTTAGGTTCCAGGTCTGCGTTCGCAAGTCGCTTGACTTAAGTAAATTCCAAAGGTGTTGAACTTTGGAATTTGTGTACACTGAACACGGGGAATAGCTTTCTTGGCATAAAGAGTACGCACTCAAGGAATAACCAAAAACTTTTGAAGTATCATTGTGCCCACTACCACATTTCGACGCAGTATAAGTCACACTGCACGCATGACCGTGGTATAATATGAGGGCGGTAGCTTTTAAGGTCAGAAGCTATTTAAAAAAAAAAGGCGTACCAACTGAATATTGTGTTTATTTTAAAGTCTATGTAATAATAATTTCAACTTGTAATGCTGTTACAGACAAAGGCCAAAGTAAAAAAAGTATATCTTCTTTGGTTCTTTCGGTAAAGTCACGTAGAATGAGAATAAAATAATAAAATAAAACAATAAAATTCTCGCGATGTTTCGGCCACAACACAAGTGGCCTTCTTCAGGCGAAAGGAAAAAAAGTATATATTATATATTATAATCAGTAAATTTTAGGGAAAAACACCATGCTATTTACAAAAAATGAAGCGGCTACGCTGAATTTGTACTGCAAAAGTAACAAAAATACATATTGGTACAGAAACCAGCCAAGGGGACACTTTCAACAAAAAATTAGTGAAGAGCTTAATAAAGAGGGCGGTAAATTTACAAATGATCTCCTGTAGATGTAAATGCCACTGGTTCTTCATGTTCTGCAGATGTAGATGCCACTGGTTCTACATGTGGCATCTACATGACATACGGACGGGTTTGTTCGCATCTCTAAACGTCCGTAAGTCGAATGTTCGTTAGTAGGAGTCCCTGTATATAGACATAGGTATGTAGACAAAGATCCCCCGTTTAGCCTTAACAGACAATTGGGGCAAATGTCGTGAGAGTAGCACCTACGACGGCCGGAACGGCATGAGGTGTGTGGTCACACCGCACCAGAAGCCCAGTCGACCTAGGGGAGGCCCGGGACCGGTTCAGATAATCGTCACTGGTGTTGGCCGTGAGCGGGAATCGAACCCGGGTCGCCAGGTTCATAGCGCAGCGCGCTAACCGCTGCACTACCGCTCCCCACACACAGGTAATATAAACACTGGTAATATAAACACAGGCAATATAGACACGGGTAATATAAACACAGGCAAAGCAACCGCTTTGCGGAGTCATCTGGTGCGTTTCCCAACGGTCAAGAGGCGAGTTTCTTTAAAACGTTCATTTCATTGCGTCGGGCAAATACAAAACCTACAAAAAGAGCACAGCACAGACGGCTGCGTTACGAAACGCCGTACAGTCGAAAACATTGTCACCGCACCCCCAAGACGCGGTCTAACCGGCCTGACCCCAGCCCGTTGTTGCCGCACCCCGGCCACGTTCTGGTTTTTCCAGATTCTTCTCTGCTCTCGTACGCAAAACATTCAAACAAACGCCACCACGCTTCCCGAGCTCACCAACCACGGTACAGTTGGGGCACCCAGGGCAAACGCGCACCCGCGCCCTGGAGCACCTTGGGGCCACAAAGACAAAGATCTCCCGTGTAGCCTTAACACAAGACTGTTGGGGGCAAGTGGTGTTAGAGAGCACCTGTGAAGGCTGGCACGGCACGCGAGGGGGTGGGTGTCTAGCACCACGACCGGCCGCCTTTGTCTCCCGAGTCGCGATGTTTTTACACACCGCACCAGGTACTCATTTGAGGCCGAGTCAACCTAGGGGAGGCCCAGGACCGGTTCAGATAACCGTCACTGCGTGTTGGTGGCCGTGAGCGATAACCAAACTCGGGTTACTGCTGGGTTCGTAGCGCAGCGGCGCTAACCGCTGCACCACCGCTCCCCACAATCCCCCCCCCTCCAATGCCTGCAACCACTGAACGAAAAATATCAGCAGATGCGGACACCTGAAACTGATGTTGATGCACAAATAGGAGATGTACAAACTCGGGGAGCGTGCGCCGGAGACTGTTGTCGCCCACCCATCACAGAACCACGGTGGACGTAGAGAGCGACTCCCACGTCTCCGATTCACAATTCACAGACACGGAGGATGAAGAGGCGGACATCATCACAGCGATTCGCCACTCCCGAGGCCATCGTCACGTCTCAGGGGGCACCTCAACATAACATCACGGGGATGCTGCCCCACGCCTACCTCGGCAGCGCAGCACTAAATCATAATAGCGAACTCCAGCCGTTCTCAATCTACCGCTGGATGAAATGCTCCCCACAACGGTGTCCGTCACGGGGCGGGCAGGCGGGGTCTGTGACCATACTTCACCACGCTCGTCAGTGTGGTTTGGTGAATTGGAAGCGGGAGGGCAGGACCGCTCCCGATATCACTCACCACCGTGTGCTAACCGCTCGGGGCCAATGCCACAGTCGAAACCAGTGGTTCTTAACCTTTACCACTGCCTTGCCACCCCAACCCCCCCTTTGGTTCTCAATTGTAAAAAAAAACTAATTATGTTAATAAATACATCGATTTAATTATGCAAAGTAGTTGTAACTTACGTGCCCGTGCGTAATTGGTGTTTTCAATGATTTATCTTCGAGAAAAATCTGGCCATGTCTCGCACCCCCAGAAAGGCCCAGATGGTGCGTGCATTCCAGGTTAAGAAGAACCACCCATCTCGACACCAACCGCCCAGTCAATGAACAACCCACATGGAACGTCAATGAGGCTAAGCGGCAGCTTCTGCTTGCTCAAGCGTGTCATGGCCGAAGGACCACTAATAACACCTACACAGCCCATTGGTAATCCACTGTTGGATGAAAGCCTCCCCACGGCATGTCGGGTGAGAATGGAGGTCACGTGACTATACTTCACATTGGTCACTGGCTAGGAGTCGGGTGGGGGGTGCGCGTCCTGTGACCGGTTCAGATGTCACTCGTCATTGACGTTAGCCGTGGGTTCATAGTCGCAGTGTGTGCCAACCATTGTGCCACCGCTCCACTCTTAAAACGAACGTGCCAGCAGCACATGGGGCGCTAATTAATTGTCCATCGAACCGTGGTGGCAACTCGGGCTGGTTTCTAGGGCTTGGCCGTTTAGATGGGGGTCAGACCCGCAAAAAACAACCCAACCCACGTCCCGTCCGGCTCTGCCAGCGTGGCCATCTGCAGGGGAACATTTGGCAAATGTTAGCCACGTTATCAAAATACTGTTCACAGGGCCCCTTGGTGTGGAGCGCAATCTACGGTAAAACTATTACCCACTCTCTCTCTCTGGCCTCTACGTGCTATGAAGAAGG